AATATCCTCTGGATGCGCATCTTTGAATCCACCCTTGAAACTCCGATTGATTGGTGACCTGACAGCAGAAAGCAGTACAACATCATTTGGGTTCTTCTGCAGAATATTTCGTGCTGCTCTGCTAAAACTTGCCATTTTCGCGAAGATTCAAGATCCAATGATCCACTGCGATCAAGTGGCGCTCTACATATGTAATGCATAGTCAAACACGGTGCAGGGACTACCGCATGTGGTCGCGGTAGTCGCTGTGGCGGGGCTATTGTCTGTGTGGGGCGACGCCGGAGACCCCTCCATGACGAATGGTGCAGCATGACACTAATGTTTGCCGGATCTAGCCTGTATGAAGACGCAACAATTCACTTTCACCATCTTTGCCCACATACTAAGACAAAAGCGACACTACACAATGGCTCTTCCGAACAAGTACCAGAATGGCAGCATTGACTCCTCTACCAAGGGAGTGTACAGAGCATCGCCCATCAAGCTCATGATATACGGCAATGGTGAATAAACTGCCTCGATTTTCTCAACAGAGCTAATTATTCATGTTAGGAACAAGCAACCAGCTTGTAGATGTCATCAGCGAGCTCGGTGCGACAAAAGCCTTCATCATCACAGGCCGGTCGTTGTATGAGAAGACACCAGTGATTAAAAATATTGAGAAGACTCTAGGATCAGCTCATGGCGGTACATTCAGTAAGATTGGTCAGCATGCGTAAGTAGTTTACAATCACTCCATCTCACTTGAGACTGATTTCATCTAGGCCGATCCAGGACATTAAGGAAGCAACATCCTTGATGGCAAAGTCAGGTTGCGATGTGCTTGTGTCTATAGGAGGTGGATCACCCATCGACTCGGCAAAGGCCATCGCATACAACATCCATCAGGAGACAGGGAAATGGATACCCAGTATTGCTGTCCCAACAACGCTCAGTGTAGCTGAAACCACACAAAATGCAGGTTTTACCACTGAAGAGAAGCATAAGATTGCGGTCAGCCACCCGGAACTGGTACCTAAGGGTGGGTAGTAACATATCTCACGATGTCTGAGCACTTTCTAACTATCATCAGCCGTGGTTTATGATGGAAATATTGCCTTATATACACCTCTCAATCTCTGGACTAGCACAGGGGTATGGAGTAGACACAGCACCAGGAACTTTTTCTTGAATTTTGACTAACTTGAATTAGATACGCTCTTTGGATCATGCAGTAGAGCTCATGTACCACCCGCTTGCAGCCGAAATACCTACGAAGCGCATGGCTCTGGAGGCCATCAAAGATCTTTTCACCTACTTGCCCCAGTCAAAAGCCAATCCCAACGACCCTGAAGTTCGCACAAAGCTTTTCATTGCATGTTATTCTTCACTCTTTCCTTTCCTCTATACCGGCGGTGTTGGTCTCAGTCATAGCATCGGTCATGCGATCGGTGCTACATACAATATTCCGCACGGCATCACCAGTTGTCTCAGTCTAGCACCTACAGTACACTTCAAGGCTAGTAACCTAGAAGAAGCAAAGCAGATTGCCAGGATCATCCCGTATATTGGCAAACAAAGTGCCGGTAGCGACGAGAAGGATTCGCACGTCGTCGCTGATGCCATTGCTGGCCTAGTTGAGGAGCTAGGGCACAAGACTACATTGACAGCCGTGAGTTGCTTGAACACGTTTAAGCTACAATTACTGACAATCCTCCAGTACAACGTGCCAACGGGCGAAGCTGAAGAAGAAGCTATCGCGTTGCGCGCACTGCACAGTAAAGAACACAAAGATTTTGCTAGCTGTAAGTAATTCTGCCAGCAATCTCACATTCAGAAGCTAATATTTCCTGCAGTGAAGAAAATTGTGTGTGACCTCTATTGAAACATACACTAGAAGCAAGGCAAAGTACTGTAGTAGATGTAATTAAATTGTAGCCTAATCGATGAATCAAACTAGTAGTTGTACAAGACCGAGGTGCCATCAGCAGATGAACTAACTATGCTCTATCTGAACAGCGGAAACATTTTCCATACAAGCGGTGGAAACCTTTTCCATGTCCGAGCTCCATGGCTTTTTCCGCTACATGATACGACCAATCAACTTGCGTTTTGCCCGCAACCTCCGCAATGTCCTCGGTTAAGCTCTTTTCCGCCTCCTCCGATTGTGGAGACATTCTCACCCGCCATTGGCACGGCATTTGTGTCGGTCTGCCCCAACTCGCTAGTAACAATGATGCATAGCCTCGTGCTGTTCGTGTGGGGAGTGTCTTCTCCGCTCCAGATTTCTCACCACCACAATTTCTTTATCATCTTTAGGCGTTGACGACAGTAAAGAATATTGCAACCTGTCGCTGTGACGTAGATACCCTTGTGCTGGAGTACAGTAAATCTTCCAAACATCTGGCAACTCGACAACACCTGAACACATACTGGTCGAATTAAGCACACTGATATCAACTTTAATTTATTTCTTATTGTACAACGACCAAAGCCTTCCGCAATGCAAAGATCTCTGCTCTTTTCGGCGCGCCGCCGTGGCCCGGCGACGGGTATGCGTTTCTTCTCCGCCAGCGCATCACGACCGGCAATCAACAAGATAGTCTCTTCCGCACAAGAAGCCATCAAGGACATGAAGTCTGACTCCACGCTACTGGTTGGTGGCTTTGGCTTCTCTGGAGTACCGAACACCCTCATCAATGCTCTACGCGATCGATCCGACCTTACAAACTTCACAGTTGTCAGCAACAACGCGGGTATGCCTGGCGTTGGACTGGGACAACTTCTGGAGACCAAGCAGATTGGTACCATGATTGCGAGTTATATTGGAGACAACAAGGTGTTTGAGCAAATGTACTTGAAGGGAGAATTAAGTCTGCAGTTGACCCCTCAGGGTACCATTGCGGAGAAGTGTGCTGCGGGTGCTGCGGGCGTACCGGCATTTTACACACCGGCTGCATACGGAACAATAGGTGGGGGTTGTAAAGGACTGGTAACGAAGAATGTTGACTAACATGATGTAGTACAAACTGGTGAACTGCCAGTCCGTTACAACACTGACGGAACGATCGCAAAAATGGCACCACCAAAGGAAACACGTGAATTCAATGGAAAGTCGTATGTCATGGAAGAGGCTATTTTCGGAGACTATGCATTCGTCAAAGTTGCCAAAGCCGACCGTCTCGGTAACTGCCAGTTCCGAAAAGCACAAAACAACTTCAACGAAGCAATGGGCAAGAACGCGAAGATGACGATTGTCGAAGCAGATGAGATTGTTGAGGATGGCGAGATTGCACCTGAGGATATCCATCTCCAGGGAATCTATGTCAAGAGAGTGATTAAGAGCACAGTAGGCAAAGAGATTGAAAGAAAGGTGTTCTGGAAGAGCCCTGAAGAGCAGAAGAAGGCGCTTTTGGAAGGTGGTACGTCTTGAGTGAAATTTATAGTAAAGAGGCTTCGGGAACTGACAGTGCATCAGGATCATCCGAAGCATCACAAAAACGTGAGCGTATCATCAAGCGCGCAGCACAAGAGCTCAAGGACGGCATGTACGTCAACCTTGGTATTGGCATGCCGCTTGCAGCACCTGCTTTCCTGCCCGAGGGCACTGAAATCATACTCGAGTCTGAGAACGGCATTCTGGGTATGGGAAGGTACCCCAAGCCAGGAGAGGAGGTATGCACATGACATCTTGGTATACACAAGAGACAAACTTACACAAAAACAGGACCCAGACCTGATCAACGCAGGAAAAGAAACAGTCACACTCATCAAAGGCGCATCAACATTCGGAAGCCACGAGTCATTCGGCATGATCCGCTCCGGACGGATAGACGTCGCCATGCTCGGCGCCATGCAAGTAAACCAATACGGAGGTAAGTCTCTTTTCCCCCTCCTAACAACCCATCAAAAATATTTCTCTGACTCTCAGTTCTAGACCTAGCAAACTTCATGCTCCCCGGCAAAGTCAAAGGCATCGGCGGCGCCATGGACCTCGTCGCCAACCCCACCCAAACCAAAGTCGTCATCACCATGGAACACGTCGACAAGAAGGGCAATCCCAAGATCCTCAGGCAATGCACATTCCCGCTCACAGGCCAGAAGTGCGTCAGTACGATTATCACCGATCTGGCGGTGTTTGAGTGCGATCGCGTCGAGGGGCTGACGTTGATTGAGCATGCGAAGGGTGTGACGGTTGATGAGATTCGGAGTAAGACTGAGGCGCCGTTTAAGGTTAGTGAGGGGTTGAAGGAGATGGTAGTTTGATTGGGGAGGGTGATGGTCAGATGATCGGATGTTGAAAACTTTGGGCGTTTGGAAGCTTGATAGGGATGAATTCATGTATTACGTCTTATATTCTATTGCGATTAATGAGAAGAGCCTTGAACGGATGAGATGGCGTCTAAGCTGTGTGTTACGTACGTAAGTACGCCAGTTTGAGATAAAACCTCGATTAGTATCCGTGCACATTCAAGTGTATTACATGCATAACTAGATATGTAGTATATGTTTATCTTACGTCAATGTGAGGGAACAATAGGGCTCTTTTAGAAAATCTCTTTAGCTATCTAAAGACACCCTCATGTTTCAGTAAGTAATCAATGATCAATGGTTTCTCCAATAGTCACTGCTGAGCTTCTTGCCTATATAGCTAATGATAGTAGACGATCTTAATCTAGAAACTCACTTCTTAACCCGCATCTACAACGGTTTGAGCCCCGAGCTTCCCGTTCCAAGCCTTGAAGTGACGCAATACGATGAGTGTAATTGTGCCGCAATACGAAGATCGCGACCGAAATTAGCTAATAGGTCATACTACTAGAGCAAAATGTCCAAGATGTTCGACAGTTCGGCGCTTACTATAATGATACCGTGATTTTTCCTTAGTAAAACCTGAGACTTAGTGCTTACTAAGAGTCTTGGAATGACTCGATTCTATATTGGGGAGGTTTGTGAACTAGTATTTAACACTATTGACGACACTGTTATCTATGCTCTAGTAAACTGTTTGCTTTTGCACCCACCATCACCGCATTATACGCCAAGATTATACCAAACTTCGAGTTCGAACAACCGAGGAATCAGTCGTTCAAAATGATAATCGACCTGAATAAGATCTTGCTTCTTCTAGCTGCTGCCGGGACAATCCATGCCGGGATCATTCGTGCCAACGAAGATGTTGACAAGCGTGCACCAACATCAGTACGAGTATGGCCTAGACAGCCGCAAGAATCTCAAATTAGCTCGTCTTTCGCACCCTTTGTGAGTTGATAGCCTCCTCACATACTCGTACAAATCTCTAATACTAGTTTTCTAGCTCTGCAACCCAGATTTGCAGATATGCGGCAATGGTAATGACTCCAAGACGTACAAATGCAGGGTAAGTATGAACTATACCTTTTCACTTCCATGGTTCTAACTCAATGTTAGATGCGTTGCACTGCATGGAATGGTTGTATACCCCAATCTGATGGAACAGCCTACTGCTCTTAAGAACCAGCTGTTCGATTGATGGTCCGGGTTGTGGGCAGCGTTAGATCGATTGAGCTTTATCTGGAGCGCGGGGGCAAACATCACGTATCCTGTAACACGGACAGTTACATCGGTTATTGAATCATGTTACTAAGAAAACTAATTGCCTTTTTTTCCCTTGGACATTAATCTAATTCCTACATCAATCTACACGATTTTTGTCCCAATGAACTACATACTGACTCGTCCCCATCTCCTCCTTCTCATAACCCTATTCCCCAAACTCCCACGTCCCATCCTCCCCCCTCCTCCCCCTATCCTCATACCCCTCCGGCAACTTCCCCCCAACAAACAAATAAACACTACTCCCATCCCTATCCCTACACCGCTCGTCCCGCGCCGCTTGCTCCCAAATCTCCAGCGCCTTCTCCGCCATGCTACACCCCGTCCCCACTTGTCTCGCACTCTGGACCCCCAGTCCCAAATCCTTAATCATCATCTGCGTCTTAAACCCTGGTTTATACCCGCTGTTACTCGGGACCCAGTACTCCGTCTGCACATTCGGCACCGGCATGACGTGATCGCACATCCAGGACTGTCCCGTGCTGGATTTGATGACGGAGTAGAGGACGGACGGGTCGAGGCCGTGCGATATACCTAGCGCCAGGGCCTCGGCTGTTGCGAGGAGAATGGTGCCCGAGAGGTAGTTGTTTGCGATTTTGGCGGTTAGGCCTGCGCCGAGGGTGGATAGGTAGAAAAACTTTGAGGCGGGACCCAGCATAGATAAGATATGGGTGAGGCGGGTGGATAGTTTGGGGTTGGAGGTTGGGCAGGAGGGAGGTGGGTGGCCGATTAGGAGGGATAAGGTGCCTGCTTGGGCGGCGGGGACGCCGCCGGATACGGGCGCGTCGATGTATGTTCCTAGCCCTGCGTGCTGAAGTGCTGCGCCGACTTCTTTTGTGGTTTGCACGTCGATGGTGCTGCATTCTAGCATTATCCTTTCTTCATCTTTGCGCGCGGCGATGACGCCGGTTCCGGGGTCTAGATATACTTTTTTCACGTCTGTACCGTCGGGTACAATGGAGATAAGGTATTTGGCTTTTTCGGCGGCTTCTCTTGCTGAGGCGCTGATTTCTATGGGACCGTGGCTAGAGTATTCGGACTTGAAGCGTGTACAGGATGAGGTGTTGATGTCGTTGATGTAGAGAGTGGAGGTTGAAGGCATTTTGAGGCGTATGTTGGATGCCATTGCATAGCCCATTGCACCCAGACCTATCCCATAGTTGTCAATAAATGTTCTTCGTATACACATCCGTGTTTGCTGGTCTTGGTGAGAGTACCGATGAATGCATAATCTTCTGCCATAATGTCCAAAGTCGTTGATTATTTTCTTTTCACCAATAATTTCACTTAGCCTATGATATTGATATTTATGAAAATGCCGTTTTCTGAAACCATGAATTCTATTCTTCAACCTTAGTCAGTAGTAGATGTCTACATGCACCCTAGTTCTGTTTAGACCGCACACCAGTTTATGCTGCCCCACATGTACCCCTCTCTTCCCCAACGCAGCATCCCCAACACATCAGCCTCGGCCCCATACTGCATCGGCTGTTGTAAATTGTGTAATCCTGTTTCAGCATGGATATGTATTTGTGTAACAATCTTGTAGAGTACCACTGCAGGGGGTAATAAAAACAGAATCCTCTTCTACGTAGTGTACATCCACCAGTCTCCATCCTCTCCAAAGAAACCCAAACCAACTACTTCATTCCAGTCATGTCTCCTTCTTCTCCCCTCAAAGTTGCTGTGATTGGTCCAGCAGGTTTCGGTGGCTCATACCTCTCTGTTGAACTACTAAATCGAGGTCACACTGTAATCGGGATATCGCGCAACCCAGCAAAACTTGGAAAGCACGAGCGTTATATCGCCCGACCTGTAGATATAGACACAGGATCGATCGAAGAAATAGCTGGAAAGTTCAAAGATGCTGATGCGCTAGTATGTGAGTTTGGACCTCATACATCAGGAGCAGGGGCATTGTTATATAGTACGTTTTGATTTCTTCCTACTTTCTTCTGCGCTCATGTGTGTGTGTGTGTGTGTTTACTTGGAGTAACTCATTTGAGAAGACTACATGCAAAAAACAACAAAAGAAAATAAAAAAGATCAAATTTCAGGACATAGAAACTAACACAAAAAACCCCCAAGTGCCCTTCCTAGAATCCGTCCGCAAAATCATCCTCGCCCACAAACTAAACCCAACCTCCTACTTCCTCTTCGTCGGCGGCGCAGGCTCCCTCCACGTCCCGGGCACCTCACTCCCCTGCGTCGACCACCCAGATTTCTTCCTCGCCTACCGCCGCGCAATCTCCACATCCCTCGCTCACATTGCGTACATGGAAGAGCGCCTCGGCATCATGGGCACGGCGCTGCGTCGGTACCGCATTGCGCGTCTAGCCTCGCCACCATCAGAAGAAGATTTGGCTGTGATTGCAGAGTACGAGCGCCACATCCGGAGCAAAGACGATGCGAGCGACTTCATTAAAGCGGGGCGTACGGCGTACATGTTTTTTGATGGTAGGACAGATTTCAACTGGAGTTTTGTTTCGCCGCCTGCGTTGTATCGGCCGGGAAAGCGGATGGGCAAGTATGAGGTTCATGTGGATGATATGGTGCTTTTGGGGGAGCAGCAGGAGGGGAAGGATATTTTTGAGGGGCGCTTGACGGGGATTAGTGTTGGGGATATGGCGATTGCGATTGCGGATGAAGTGGAGCAGAGGAAGTTGGTTGGGACGCATTGGTCGGCTTGGGGGGATATTAGTGAAGATGTACCTGCGCCAGCGTATGCGTCGTTGGAGGCGGTGGGCTGAGGGGATTAGTAGCAAGTGCTGGAATAGTAACTCTCCCGCATAGTTTCACGTTTGATATTTTGATATTTTGATATTTTGTGATTTTCTGGACATTGTCGTCTAGTCTAGGTGGACCTGCTCCCCATTCAACGTGACATCAGTCTTCCTGTATAGCTACTTGTTGTGAAAATAGTCATTAAAGACCTTGAGTACTGCGTCGAACCCGATTTTCTCTCCGAACTTCAATACGTGCTCGTCTCGCCCAATCTTTGTGGGGGCACCGTCTGGCACCCATCTACTTGTCACACCTTCGGCGCTCGGCCCATATACCTTTGCGCTCAGCTCGTCCTGATGTACCGGCGGCCATGGATTCTCGCCATTGACGAATTTGATAAAATCCTGTCCGTATTCCCTAGCTACCTTAAGTTGCGCATCGTCCAAATGTTCGTTGAAATTTTGAAACAGATACGCTACGTCGAGGATATGGCCGGCTTCGCCTTTGAATCGACCTTCCCAAGGTATACCCTCGTTGAAGTGATAAAGGAAGAGTTTTGTTTCGGATGTATTTGGCCAACCCTGGGCAAATGCACGTGAGGCAGCGTAAAAGCAGATGTCAGACGCGAAGCGTACAAAGGCGAGGATTGCCTCGTCATCTGAAGTGGAAGCAGTGATGTTGTAAGCCGCGAGTAATTCTGTAGCTACTTCTGGCTGGGCGGACAATGTTTTATTGCAAGAGTTGATGAATGCTTGGGCAATGCCAGGCTTACGGGCATCTAGCATGGTGTATGCGAAAATGCTGCCCTAGATATCGTTAGCTTTTGCTCCTTTACCACTTGCACAGGAGCTTACATCAAGCTTCGAGTCTCCTAGCATCAAGGCTTTGCACCATTTTCGACCAGGAAGCAGGAAATTGGGTTTTTCTTCTTGAGATGAAACAGTTGAGAAATCAGGGAAGCCAGGTACTGTATCATTGTCCATGGAAGGCATCATATGCGCTGATAGTGGTGCCTTTTGCACAAGATCGTCAACTGGCAAGGCCAAGAGAGCCTTAATGCGATCTTCTGGAGACATTTCTGCGAGTCCAAATGCTTCAATGACATTTTGGTAGGCCAACTCTGCCTCGGATTCTGGAATGGGTAAAACGAGGAGTGGTGTTCCTCCAGTACTGAGACCTTGCTTCATCAATGGCTCTTTCGAGCTCAGTAAGTATATCACAGACACTATGAGAGTCAGTCACGCTTTCAAGGTCACTGATTGTTGAACGTACCAGCTCCAGCACTTTCTCCGCACGCTGTGATCTGATTGGGGTCGCCACCAAAGCCACCTATGAATTTCTTAACCCACTGCAGTGCAGTGCGTTGGTCATGAAGGCCGTTATTTGCTTTGTATCCGGCTTTTCGTAGTTCAGCTGATGTCATAAATCCTGTGACACCCAATCGGTAACTGATTGGTTTAGAATGGAGTCATTGTACTACTACCAGCCAGACCTACTTGATAGTGATGCCAATTATAGGCTTTTTCAATCCAACCGACATTTTCACAAGAGCAGCCGGGTCATATTGCGGGTACCAGCTACTTCCAATTGCGAATCCACCTCCATGTATGAAAACGTAGACCGGTAACTTTGCATTTGAGTCGATGGAACCACTTTTGTCTGTAGGTACAGTAATGTTAAGATTCAGACCTTCAAGGTCTGACTGTGCCGGAGCCTCTGGTAATGGCAGGGAATGCTGGATGAAGCCAAATTCAGCATGAATGGTGCCAGCTGGCGCTATTGGAGAAGGTCTGGATTGATTTAGCAGCTGTTGGGTGAAAGAAAAGTATGTAATAGGTACCCAAACTTGGTAGCATCTGTGTTATCAGGCCCATAATTATCTACCAATTCTGGTGGCGCGAATCGGTCTTTTATCGAGGCGTATTTAAGACCTAAGAATTGTGCGACTCCATCTCTCTGGTTTCCCTTGATTTCCCCGAGCGCTGGATGGTTGAGAGTGGCGGACATGTTGATTATCGCAAGGAGACAAGAGGCGGTCGTGAGGAGTGTGATGCAGCTGTAATGCCTGGTATCGTTAAATAAAAATGCCTTGATACCTGCCTGTATCACAGTTGGGGAAGGCGATAGTATCGGTACATGTTCGGATGAAGGCGGAAAGAAGTCGGTGTGCGTGTAGTATGAGCCGACTACCCCGCTCTACTAACCATTCGACTAGTGGGGCAGAGCACGACATCCACACACGGCAAGTAGAAGGTCAAGAATACGTACCACTTATGCATTTCAGATATGTACTTGGAATGGCCCTTATAGGCTGTGATTTGGAGCGGCTCAATGCATCCGCGCTGATAATTGTGAATAGTGATAACGAGTCATCTAGACTGTTGTACCATGCCAGTCAAGGTTTACGTGCATCATGATACGAGATAAGTTCAATCTGCCCTCTACGGATGCTTTCGTCAGTCTCTCGCTACTTGATGGCGGCAGTTTCGTTGCTGATTTGAGCCGCATGCATGCTGGCGGGAGTGGGACCTTTCGCATGTACAATTGGGCATTTTATATTGCGCACAAGGGTAGACATGTACTTTGGGACTTGGGCTTAGATGAGGTCAGTGTACTGGGAAAACTGCAATTGGCGGTCTTTGGCTAACTTTGCCACAGGACCGAAGCTGCTACACGCCTTGGGTGGACAAGCACATGCTGCAGTACGTCAATCATGTTGGCCCAAAGCGTACCATTGTGCAACAGTTGTTTGAAAGAGGCGTTCCAACCACAGATATTGATACAGTTCTGTTTAGGTACAAGGTCATCATCGAGGCATGCAGCATGTATCGACTAACAAACAACCAGTCACGCTCACTGGGACCATTGCCGACCAATTTCCGACTTGTTTCCAAATGCAAAGGCGTGTTTTGGTCCAGGCACAAAATCAGCATGCCAGCCGGGTCATTGGAAAGACCCTGACTTGCAGTGGGATGGGCGCTTCTTTGACCCGGATCACGCCACCGAGACTTGGGAAGAACTACAGGGCGATTGGAAACAATTCGGACCGTTCGAAAATGCTCTAGATTATTTTGGAGACGGCAGCTTTTGGGTTTTGAATGCACCGGGACACATGCCAGGCAATCTTGCTGCCGCTGCCAGATTGCAAAATGGTGAATGGGTCATTCTTGGGAGCGATTGTAAGTTGCTCCATAGGCACAGTCGTTAGCGTTGACTAACAAAATCTGGGTTCAGGTTGTCATTCGAGGTTTGTCACGCTTAGGTGTGCTGGAAATCTGCTAACGAACTAGGGAATTACTCGATGGCGTGCAAGAAATTGCCCAGTTTCCAGGCCCCAACCTAAAGCCCATGTCCCTCCACACAGACATTACATCTGCTAGAGATACCATGGCTAAGCTGCGGACATTAGAAACTGATTACGGGGCTCATATAGCACTCGCACACGACGCTTCGTGGCTGAAGAAGGGTACAGACCGGGTACTGATGTCGCTGCTGGATAAGAGAATGAAACTGACGGCTAAAGAAAAGATAGTCCACGATGAGATACCTTAGTTCAGTTTTCAAATATTAGTTTACAATAACTGGAGCTATAGGTACCTAAGTAATTAAGGACCTAGTCAGCAATATTCTGAGGTAGTTTGGCACTACTTAAAGGGGTCGCCATTTTCTAGTTTTATTGATTGCATGCGAGGTAGTTTCGCTTCTCTGAAGGTGTCCAGCCATTTCAGCGCCATGAAAGCCCGCCCAGGCAGTTAGCGCCATGTTGGTGTACGAGCTCTTGGGGAACTGAAATAGCCGATGACAAACCAAGTCTAATGTTAGATGTCTTACCAAGTACACTTGGTTTTCGTTTATTTATTAAATATTATAAATAAGCAGTGCGTGGTGTTGGCTTTGCTGAGGAGTTACACTGTTGAAGAGTTACACCGTTGAGGGGTTACAATGCTGCGCTATCCGTTTATTTCGGTTCCCCAAGAGACGAGCTAACTGTGTCTACTTTGATCTTAAGGGATACAAGTAGAAATATAGAAACAAGATAAAAAGAGAGAAAAAGTCAGAAAGGGCGATAGGAAAGATGGTAACAAGGGTTAAAATTACAGTGCTAGAGTGATCAAGTACAAAGTTACGACTCTAGCTAATCTAGATATAGATAGCGCTACGCCAAGTAGTGGGCCTTGCTGATTAGGATGTTGAATCATTGTTATGGGAGTGTTGGATGAGGTTCGCTTGCTTAACTGCGTTGCTTTTACTCCCCTCTTACTCAACTGGCAACACCTACTCATCTTTCGCAATGGCTCTCGACGGGCTCTCATGGGCGAGGATAGCCTTTACGAGCGTCATCGCGGCGCTCGCATATGGTGTTATGCGACTGATTTAAGTTCGCCGCTCCTATGAACACCTCGTTAGTCACACATCGTTGTTACGTATGTGATGCGGATGTGTGTTAACTAACGTCATCTATAGCCCAAGTCACCTCACAGCTTCCTCTTTGGTCATCTGAAGCTGTTCAACGAGATGTTTGGCATGCTGCCGAGTGACGCGCACTATCAAGTCGTCGTCACAACCATTGCAAAGAAGTACAACATGCCGGGTATCTTCTACCTCGACTTGTGGCCGGTCTCATGGAGCCATTTGATCGTCATAGATCCCGACGTCGCGATGGAATTCACCGTCACCCGGAACCATCACAAGCATGAAGCCGTTCAAAGAATGGCTGACCCTCTTATTGGAAAGGCAACATCGCCAGCGCGGAGGGACCACACTGGAAGCACCTACACAGGATGATGAGTCCAGCATTCTCCATTACGAATATCACTGAAATGGGGCTGATTGCTGCCACCGAAATCATGAAGTATCGGTCTATTCTGCAAGAGAAAGCAAAATCATGAGCAACTTTCCGGCTCGAAGAGTGCGCTCATCATCTGACAGTTGATTTTATTTCGAGAGCAGCGACTGGACGGTCATTCGATGCTCAGACGAAGGGCAGTCTTGCCTTGCAGCATTTTGAAGTCATGGTTCGGGCTTCCATGAAATCAAGAGAATCTCTCAACTATATCGGCAACTTCTTCCCCAACAGAGTACGAGATCACGAAAGGCGTAAGCTAAACGTGTTGGTGACCGAACTCATAAAAGAAAGATTTGAGTTTATAAAGAGTAGGTGGTCCGTCTTTCATACTGAAGCCGCATTGCTAATTCCAGCATCATCTCAGATAATGACCTTGACTTGTCTCAGAAACGAGGGCTTTGTATCATGGACCTTATGCTGAGAGATTATCTGCAAAGTACTAGAGAGAACACATCAGCCGAGCTCGACCCTGAGTTCTTAACAAATGCTATTACTCAGGTCAAGACGTTGCTTATCGCTGGTAGCGGCACAACATCAGACACGGTCTGCTTTGGACACATGCTACTGAGCGTGCATCCAAAAGTAGTTCGAAAGATGCGAGAAGAGCATGACCGTGTCTTCGCTCCCGGCATCGACGCAACATACGATCTTCTAGAGGCTAACCCGTACAAAATGAACGACCTTGTTTACAAGATTACCGTAATCAAAGAGATTCTCAGATTCTATCCGATAGGTAATACTGCTCGCGAAGGCATGGATACCTTGACTTATCCGTACATACTACATTGCCTGGAAGACGCGGCAACGGTGCTAACATGAGTTTGTTGGTAGGTCCCCTCAAATTCGACCCCGAGCGGTTCATACACCAAGATTATACACAGACTGCATGACGCCCGTTCGAACGAGGGCCTCGTGCTTGTATCGGCAAAACACTCGCAATGGATAAATTGACGCTTGTCTTCCTATTGACTGCAAGAGACTTTGACTTTATGTGCGCAGATCTCAAGCCGAACACAACGCCCAGGACAGAATGGAACAATCTCGATTTGACTTTTGGAGATAGAGCATATCAAGAGTTTGTTTTCGAAGCCTCACCCCGCGACGGCATGCCAATGATCGTCAAAAAATCCGACTGGCCGTCGTGATTGCGGCCTGGAACGTTTTTTACTACGTCGAATTAGGAATGGCTACCGGACGATCCGTGTACATAACTAGCGGTATGCTTACATACAGGGGTCTTAAGGTTTATTTTATTCAATAGCATGCATTCTCTATGAATTTAAAGCTGTCCCAGATATGACAGATGCGGATCGGATCTTTTTTGTCCACCAAACGGTCGAAATACGGCAAACTGCCGGACAGAGTGGTAGCTAGTGATCGAATACCATTGCTCCAAACTGAGATTAGCATGTGCTCCTTTGATCTCCACCCTCCCCGCATATTGTTTATTGTTGAACGATGAATTCGCCAGCTTCTTGTTCCCGCAAATAACTCCATGACTTGGTTGTCCATGTAAGTATGTAAGCGTCAACGCCACTTGTGTAATCTCAACTTTCCGCTCCTCGGACGATGAGCACCATTCAGGCAGAATACGCAGCAAATGGAATAGCAAGAAACCACACCTAGCGTGAACCCCTCACCCGGCAGTCGAGGCAGCGTGGGGCTCCGCGCGCGGCTCGGCTCAAGGCTTGGCTACCGCATCCCTACAGAATAAGCATTCCAAAGTTGCTTCGGTCATCATACTGGTCCGGACGCCGCACAAAAGTGGAACTGCACCTAGCACAGGACCACCCAGTCGACATGGACATGACGTGTATACATCTTGGGATGATGTCGTTACTAACCATGTCTTGTTGAAGGGTCAGCACTACGGCTATTTAGACTTCTATAAGTTACAAGGTAAGCATCTGGATCGGATAGCATCTGAGTCTTTGTTCAGACAATCGAAATCATGTTTATGTCGCCACGTCCCTTGTCACTGTTACTCTTTGCAGCTGGAGTATTTGCCCAGGGTAATTTTCCAGATTGTAAAAATGGACCACTGAAAAATGAGACTATATGCGACCCTTCAGCATGTTCGTCATCTTCGTAGAATGCTACAAATAGTTTCCTTATTGACAGATATTAGCTACACTCGCTCGTGCAAAGTCTCTTGTAGCACTTTACACCCTCGAGGAGAAGATCAATGCTACTTCCAACAGCGCACCTGGCGTTGCCCGTCTCGGTATTCCACCTTACCAATGGTGGAACGAGGGACTCCACGGCATTGCAGGTCCCTTTACTAGCTTCGCCAAGCAAGGCGACTACAGTTACTCAACATCCTTCCCCCAGCCTATCTTGATGGGTGCCGCCTTCGACGACAACCTGATTACCGAGGTTGCAAATGTTATTTCCACTGAGGCGCGAGCTTTTAACAATGTCAACAGAACGGGTCTCGACTTTTGGACGCCCAACATCAATCCCTTCCGTGATCCTCGATGGGGACGTGGGCAAGAGACTCCCGGAGAGGACTCGTACCACCTTAGTTCTTACGTCAAGGCTTTGATCCATGGACTCCAAGGTAACGAAACGGACCCTTACAGGCGTGTGGTCGCTACCTGCAAGCACTATGCTGGGTACGATATCGAAAACTGGAACGGCAACCTCCGCTACCAAAATGATGTTCAGATCTCACAGCAGGACCTTGTGGAATACTACCTAGCTCCATTTGAGGCTTGTGTTCAAGCCAATGTTGGCGCCTTTATGTGCTCTTACAGTAAGTTGTAAAAAGGAATAACCCAGCATGAACTTGCGATTAATGATATTCCAGACGCCGTTAACGGTGCGCCACCATGTGCCGACCCTTACATGCTTCAGACAGTTCTCCGTGAGCACTGGGGCTGGTCCAGTGATGAGCACTGGGTCACATCAGACTGTGACTCTATTCAGAACGTGTACTTGCCTCACCAATGGTCTTCGACTCGTGAGGGCGCTGCTGCCGACTCTCTGAATGCGGGCACTGATCTGGATTGTGGTACTTACCTGCAGTCGCATCTTCCTGGAGCTGTCAAGCAGGGTCTCACTAACGAGACTACCCTTGATAATGCTCTCATTCGCCAGTACTCTTCTCTCATCAAACTTGGTTACTTTGATATACCTGAAAACCAGCCCTATCGCCAGCTTGGCTTTGATGCGGTAGCAACTAGTGCTTCTCAGGCACTTGCTCTCAAAGCTGCTGAGGAGGGCATCGTTCTTCTGAAGAACGACGGCGTTCTTCCAATTAACTTCGGTTCCAAGAATGTTGGTATCTACGGTGACTGGGCCAACGCCACTTCGCAATTGCAGGGCAACTACTTCGGAGTCGCCAAATTCTTGACTAGTCCATATATGGCCCTCGAAAAGCTTGGTGTTAACGTTAGATATGCGGGCAATCTCCCAGGCGGTCAGGGAGACCCTACTACAGGCTCCTGGCCTCGCCTCTCCGGCGTCATCACCACGAGTGACGTGCACATCTGGGTCGGTGGGATGGACAATGGCATTGAATCCGAAGATCGAGACCGCTCCTGGTTGACCTTGACAGGTAGCCAGCTTGATGTTATTGGTCAACTCGCCGACACTGGAAAGCCGGTTATCGTAATTATCATGGGAGGTGGCCAGATAGATACCTCCCCGCTCATCAAGAACCCCAAGATCTCTGCGGTCCTATGGGCTGGATACCCCGGCCAAGACGGCGGCACCGCCATCGTCAACATTCTCACTGGAAAAGCTGCTCCTGCTGGACGTCTCCCACAAACACAGTACCTATACAAATATGTCTCCGAGGTACCAATGACGGACATGGCTATGCGCCCAAGCAACAAGAACCCTGGCCGCACATACAAGTGGTACACCGGCAAGCCCATCTTCGAATTCGGCTACGGTCTCCACTACACCAACTTCTCCGCCAGCATCACCAACCAGCCAAAACAGAGCTACGCCATCTCTGACCTCGTCAAAGGCTGCAACAGCACCGGTGGCTTCCTCGAGCGCTGCCCCTTCACCGGCATCAACGTCAGCGTTCAGAACACGGGAAAGACATCTTCCGACTACGTCACTCTCGGCTTCCTCACCGGTTCCTTCGGTCCCAAGCCGTACCCCAAGAAATCCCTCGTCGCCTACGACCGCCTCTTCAACATCGCCGCTAGCTCTTCTTCGACTGCTACGCTCAACCTTACGCTTGCGTCTCTTGCACGTGTGGATGAGTCCGGCAACAAGGTCTTGTATCCTGGAGATTACGAGTTGCAGATTGATAATGCGCCGCTTGCTAGCGTCAAGTTTGCACTTACTGGCAGCGAGACGACGCTGAGCAAGTGGCCGCAACCGCCTTCCAACCGTACGGGTCAGGGTGTGGATTTCTTCGGAGATTATTGGTATGGTGGGAATTAAATAGAAAGAATTAAACAAGGTCAAGCGTTGATTTCTTGTTTCCGATATCTGGAGCCCTGCCTTTGAGGTAGTCACTTTAGATGTCGAGCGTTCTTCTTCTCGATCTGGCATTTCTACCCAGATTTGACTAATCGACTATGTCGAGTAAAATATCCACTTCTCTTCACCTTGTTGAACCCAAACACTAACGAAATTCCAATCAACCATTTCAACATTACGCCATCGCTTGTTTCAGTAAAACTTGATTAAAATTTCTCTTCCGCTCTCCCACACACTTCTCGGCATTACTTGATTTTACAATTTACAACTTGCTCTCGTACCCTCCAACGCTCTTCACAAAAATAACCTTCATCGGGCTCTCGATCAAATCCTCGTCTTTGAACGCCTTGCCTACTCGTATGCCGATGTCGCTTTTTACGTGTACGTCTAGTGCGGCTTGGTTTTCGTATCTGTTGTTGGCGCAGACACGTTAGCGTTTGGCATCTTGATTTTAGCTGGGTAGTATCCTTATAGCGTTTCATGAAGCGCACAGCTTGGACGTGGGATGCGTGTGTGCCAGCAAGTAGCGGTATGAGATATGGAAATGAATAGAGCAGGAATCGAGATGAAGAGTCGAGAAAAAAAGAAAAGGACGTACTTCTCCAGCATGATGAATCTTGGTTTGTTGCCTTTGATTTCGCGGTGGAGGTGGTAGCGCAGAATTCCTGGCTCAGTATCCTTGACGATTTGTGCGGCTTCGGTAAGAATTTCTTGAACCTATTCATTCCATATCGTGTTAATGGCAGGATCTGAGGGCAGTAAAGCTTTCAAATAGGCGACGCACTCTGTCTGCTTTTCCGGGTTTGGGTTGCACGATTGCGACGATTTCGATTGGGCGTGACATATTTGCAGTTCAAACAGAGTTTCTTGAGGTAAGGTGAGATGCGAAATGTGATGTGAACTGGGGAAAAGAAGTGTGGGGGAAGAAGGAATGTCTGAAATGCGGCTAGGATTGATTAAATGTAAGATGCGACTTTGCTGGGTTTATAGACGGTAGTTTACGCGGTGAAATGGCGTTTTGCTCCACTCTGGACTAGCTACGTACATGGCTTGGTGGGCCCGAAAGACACCGAGGTATATTGCGGCGTAAGCTATTGGCGCCGTCGTATCTTTTCGCCCAGTCATATTATAGGTATATGGCTATGTAGCTAGTTGTTTAGACATGCGAACTACGGTGGTCGTGCGAGATGAAAGACTGCGCTTGAGGCGGTGTTGCAGTAAACAGGTAAAACTGACTAAAAGCAGCGACCTGGCGCCATGAGAAACTAGTACTCGACGCGGGGTCATCCTGGCATGAATACGCAGGAGATTTTGTCTATGTCCCGCGATTTTTTATTTCTATCCCCAAAACGGACTCGGGAAACATGACGACTTTGGTTTGCGTGCGGCAGCGGTGCGACACGGTCCGCTAGTCCTCACACCCTTGACCTTGCAAGAGAAGGCCCAGAAGATGGATTTTTAGTTTAATAACTACAACCTAGTGCTGCGTTCAAATATCATCCGTAAATACCCATAACTACTCAGTTTAAGAATTCCGCATTTTGGTTCCGGTCGCACGTTGATGGCATGATGCATGGTGTTACTTTCTTCACTAATAACGTTAATCTTTACACATTCTGTTTGTAATACTAAATTTTGTGAGATAAGATTCTCTTGCGTATGAGTCAAATTCATCCGGGTCATAGGGTGCAAGTGTCTCCGTGTCCGTGTATATGGTCAAATGCCCTCAGGAGACCATATAAATGTGCAATGCCCGCGCATACAACCAAGCAATGCATAATTTGGTGACTGGCGCCCCACACGTCAAATCGATAAGGATACCACTTCTCGGGAATCTATTATTCATCAGCTTTATGCTCGCATAGCAGAACTGGATTATTTCAAGATCAGCTACGCACCCTCATAGCGTATAGGGCCCCACCAGTAAGGTTGAATGCCGTCATCAATGCCATCCAGTCAAGGCTCATTCTCCACATCTGCGTTTCCCAACCAAATATCGTGATTCCATGAACGATGGGAATGATGAACGATAGCCCAAGGCTAGCATACATGGCTGCACGGTATGGGCGGTACTTTGGACGACGGAAAGCAGGGTGCAGAGTTGCGTACACGCAACCGGCTGCTAGAACCGATACAAGGGTGTAATATGTCTTTTGTAGATGGGGCGTGCAATAGAAGCCGTAGTAAACGCAAGGGATGGTGGAGCCCCACATTAAAATAACGATACCAAGCTGTTCAAATAAGCTGTCGGTTGCGGATGATAGATCGGGTGTTCTCACGTAATCGAGTTGGTTTCCAAATGTATGGACATTCTGGCTGTGGTTGTTGAAGATGTGGAAGCTGTGTTGTGCATGAATATCTAGATGTTGCAAGATAGAGATTCGAAAATACTTACGTGGCCGATAATGCAAAACATATAGCAACACCGAAGAAGAATGTCGAGAAGACCACGACATCTGCAGTAATTGCCGTAGCATATCTTGGTTGCAAAGACCAGTAAATGGGTATGGGTAGAGTGAAGAAGATGATAGACCCTATGATATGCGAGAATATGTTGACTAGATGATGTCTTAATTGGGATCTTCTCAGCTGGCTGAGCATAACCCTACCTGTTTCATTATGAATGCTAAGAATACTTTCTAAAGATCGTTTGTAAGACCAGGATACTGCCCTAGGTATCCTTTCAATTGCTGAAGAAAATGTCAATGTAAAATTTAAAAACGTACCTATAACTAGACAGAATGTACTCGTTGTCTCTTTTCCTGGTAAGGTCATGGTTGAGATAGGTGATAAATCATAGAACGTACTGGTACCAGTCGGCTAGAGGGATTGTGAGTTGTTCGTAACAATATTTCAAGTGGTTTTCGTACGTATCTCATCCCATGCCAATAGTGATGTACGCTCTTTGCTCTTCATTCGATCACGTGGGTCAGCCTGGCGAGTGTCAGTCTCAAAGTTGATGCTCGTGGTGATCGTCTACCTACTGCGTTTTCTGCAACCACTGTCACTGTCGAAGCAGACTTTCGAGAGCGGATATTCATTCTGTGCTTGGTAGAGTTCTGGTTTGAAGAGATCAAGTCAGTTGGGAAAGTGGAAGCGTATGCACTCCGGTGCAAGAACGGGAAGGTCGGTGCACGGATCAATTTCAAGCGCCCAACACCCACATGGTACTGAATCCTCCCACTCCTTCATGCTCAGGTCCATGCCGACAGTCCAATCAACGAGCCGAGGTTAACTTTTGACGTGCATGGCTTTCAGCCAACCTAGAATATGCAGCCAAGGCGACGCATACCTTATAGAGAGTGGGGAAATTTGTGCACAGGATTGGATCAAATGCTGAAGTGCATTGCACTGCATGTTTCATGGTCATGCGGCGTAGTAATACTTGTAGTGTTATTTTCGACCAAAACCATCACCAACTATCATCTGCTACGCCATCGATGGATGTGCGCCTCATCATGCGAAATCCTGCATAGGCCGTATATTTGATACGTGGCTTCGATCCTACGTCTATTTTGCCGCCCAGTTACGCCAGCATAATGTACAGTAGCACACTGCAGATAGATGACAGTTCGATAATAGTTCAAGCGGGACTACCCGTAAACCTAGATTCACTCTCATCTACACCTTTTACACTGAATTTTCAGACTATGTCCTTAGCATTATGCAGCTCCGCCCTCTTCTTCCTTGTCAAGAAAGTTACTGCCATCGGCGGAAACAAAGTCAACATCACAGATATTGTAGGCTTTGTTCAGGAAGATAATGAGCGAGATACGATTTCCCTACTTATCAGCTGTTTCGCCACGCTTGGGCTGTGTGTTTACTCGGCTGTTCACCTAAACATACCGCGCAAGGGCGAGGGCAACTATCGAGTGCTACTGAAGGAACTTCAATGGTGTATTCTCGGTCTATTTGCACCAGAGTTGATATTGTACACTGCTTGGAGACAGCTGGCTTCTGCAAGACAGCTATGTCTTGAGATAGAAAACATAACAAGTCAGCAGCAGGGCCGCAACGAGACTTGTGACAAGGCAAGCCCATCTATCATCAGGTATTAGCACTGCTAACTAGTACCAGAGTACAATAGTGACTAAGACTCATGTGGAGGACCCAAAAACGTCATGGACTATCACACACGGATTTTACGCTAGTATGGGTGGTTTCGCCATCGAGCTAGACAGTACCGACCGTCGAAATGGGGCGTTGTTCAACGATATGACGCGCTTCACCTTAACGGCGAAAGGTGTCGCACTACTCGCTAAGTGTGGACATGTTGTAGATATATCCCTCGACGAGATCAAGGACAAGAACAAAGCAGACGGTCTTGCAAAACTCCTTGTGTGCATCCAAGCAGGATGGATGATCGTCCAAGTTATCATTCGTACTGCCATCGGACTGCCGACCACCTTGCTCGAAGTACATGTTGTAGCCCATGTTGTTTGTGCGCTCGTTATGTACATCCTATGGTGGCATAAACCTCGCCAGGTAACCTCCCCCACTATCTTGAAGGGGGACTTGATGCCTTTGATCGCCTACATGTACATGGCAAGCCGAATGAGTGGGAGGCAACCTCAAGGCAAGCTCTCTATCTTCCGATCAGCCACTCCCGAACTGGCAAAGCTGGCTTACTTTGAGAACAAAGATGTGCCAACCGGTACGTGTGGCGACAGGCAAAGTTTGAATGCAACTCGACTCTCTACTGCCGGTAGACTGCGACCACGGCCCGATATCCGAATTGCGAACCAGGAGGCTGAGCCAGCATTATGCAACTCTCCAATGGAAGCTGCGTCTGAGCTGCAAAATCTTGCAGAAAAGGCTATCCAGGTATATCCAGTCCTCAAAAACCACTTTCACTCTGTATCCGAGAGAGAATGCCCAGAGCCGGCATACAAGGTCCCCGAAGTAACCGAACTGATGCAACCATATGCCATCGACTGGCCCAACGATGGTTTACTTCGGCGCACTCAATCTCTCGTCATGGGAATGGTGCTTTGGGGTGCGTCTATGGCATACGGCGGCATACACGTAGCTGCATGGAACTATTTCTTCCCCACGCGACTAGAGCAACTGTTTTGGCGCATGAGCTCGGTATGGGTAACATTTTGTGCAGCCTTTTGGCTTGTGACCAATCTTTTAGCCCATGTTTTTCCTCTCATCGATAAGATCTGGAACGCTTATAACCAGCGGACACTGAGCATTCTTAGTACGGTGCTCATTACGACCCTCTGTGTTTTGTGTGGTGTGAGTTATATTATCAGCAGGGCATATATAGTGGTAGAAGCTTTTGTGAGTATAAGGGAAGTTCCACGAGGCGTGTATGAGACGCCAACGTGGTCACAGGTTTTTCCTCATCTGTAATAAGAAGATCTCAGCTTCATTGTTCGTTTCCGCAGTCACAAATATTATTATCGATAGCTCTCATAAAGAACTTGCAACCAAGTGCACTTGGTATCGCTGACGCATTGGTAGGTGGGCTCCTAGACCGACTTCTGGGTGATTATTTGGTCCTAGAAATACAGGAGCATGTAGTAGATTGAATACAATCCGCAACACGGCCTTCATGTTTTTCATCTCTAAACGCGATACGCGCTTTTCCAAGTGCCAGCCTACGCATCCCAAGGGAGGCATATGGTTCCAAGAAAACATTTCATATCTGGCGAGAAAACATCTGTCTCGATGAAACCGTTTCATAAACGATTCTTGAATAGTTCAGGTCTGGGCAAGCTAGCTCTGAATATGAGATTTAGTTTTTGCAGTCAAAAAACATAACTCCATGTAACACACGAACGTTCCGTTTCAGACGACACTTTGCGCGCAACCCCTCATAATCGTTTTGCACAGTCGCATAACAGGAGCAAAAAACAACAACAGCAACAACAAAGAATAACGACCAGAAAAAATACAGGGGTGATGTTCCAGACCAAAAGTTGGCGAACCCACTATCCCCCCTTGCAGAAGCGTGGCGACGAGCATACTAAAAAAGAACCCTAAAAAAACAGGGCGAAGCCACAAACTAACCCTACCAAATATCTATTTGATTACCATGATAAAATTGAAGTCTAATCGGATATCGTAACGAAAAGCGTAAAGAAAGGGGGAAGGCCTGATACCCAGCGCAGGATTTCCAATCGTGGTCGGGTACATCGTCTCAACTTAGGAAAAGAAAAGAAAAGAAAAAGGGCATACAGACTGCCAAATGTGAGAAAGAAAGAAAAGTGAAAGGCAGCGCGACAACTAGGAAAGTTCGACGTCATCGTCGTTGCTGCCATCAGCAACATCCTCATGCGATCTCCGGGAACCCCCGGGATTCTCAGTCTCATCGATCTGCAGTCATTCGCCCTGCTGCACCTGCGTGATATCATCCATCTCCTTCACCTTTATCATCTCCTCTTTCTTCCTCGCCTCCTCCTCCTCCTCCTCCTCAACCTCCCTGTCCTTATCCCTCGGATCCCCAGTCTTCTGCCACAACCTCAGTGCCCCGCTCCTAAACGCATCCCAGTACTTCTTCACCTCCGCCGTGACATCTACTTTGGCAGTGCCCTCCTTCCACACATCCATGCTCTCAATGACATCAAGCCAATCTAGCATGCGCGCGTTTCGGCCCTCGTCGCCCGCGAAGTGCACGACAAAATGGCCTTTGCGGGCTTGAAACCATCTTAGACTTTTGGGCTGGGCGCCTGCTGCGAAATCGACGATGCTGTTGTTAGGCGCTGGGTACGCGTTGAACCAGTACCAGGGGACCCAGGCTGCTTTTCCAGCCCAGCCGGGCTCGCTGAGGAGGCGCGACATAGCCGTTTGTTCTGCAGAAGGGAGATGGTCATCCGGACGGTAGTATCGGTAGCCAAGGATAGTGCTGAAGAGGTTGGCGGACCACTCGTTTACTTTGAAGAGAAACAATCCGGCGTTTAGGTCGCCGGCGTCGCGGTTGACGATGAGATTGACGTTTGCGTATTCAGGGGTGTCTGGGGGAAGGAAGCTGGAGAGGGGACGGCACGGGTCCATGATTATGGCGTCGCGGTCGATCCAGAGGATCCATTCTAAGCGGGTGTTATTAGGCTTAAGCAGCTCGTTTTGGACGAGGTGGAGGAGGAAGGCAATTTTGTTCCAGGCGCCGTCGGCGAGGTCTTCGCAGAGGATGTGGGCGGAGGTGTCGTGGACGGCGGCGTGGAGCATGTGCGATTGGACTGCGCGTTGGTAGGCTTCTACTTTTTTGCCGGTCGTGATGGAGGCGAGGGCGACTCTGCGTGTCTCTTTGGTTTCAAAGGGGGCGTGTTTTGCGCATGACTTTTTGCGTATGGCTGCTTGTTCCTTCCAATGCTTGTCGAAATCTGGCATGCATTGTGTATGACCGTAGGAGATGTGCGTTTTGCTGTAGTCGAGCGATGGAGTGGGGGTACCGGAAGTTGATGAAGCGGAGGTAACGGGTAGTGAAGGAATGGATGAGCTGGATGGTGAGGGAATGGATATGTCAGATGCTATTAGAGTGGGATTATTAGATGCTAATGAATTGTCAGTGCAAGTCTGCAGTTATAATTGCCCCAAGTCTCATACCCTGAGCATCTAGTGGTTGTGCCTTTTGCGCGTCGTGGAACCATGTTGATTTGGAAATGTCGCTCTGCTGCAACGCAACCGGTTCTGGTTCTAACCAGTAAACTTGATAGAAAATGCAGAGGGAAAGAATTCCCAGCAAGATCTTTGGGACGAGCGATGCCGCTCGATGCATGGTGCAAGAACTGCGATGTGAATCTGGAAAAAAAGGCGGATCGGTCAAAAATGAACACTACTTGTCAGAAATGAGAACTGAAAGTTCAGGGAACCATGGATTCTACGATCGTTTCCACATCAGCTGGTGGCGATACGGACGTATTTTACAGAGCCACAGTCGCGCCATAGCGCAAGCCATGGGCCCCCAGTACGGCCTTTGGTGTGATCCCCTAGTCGTACCGGGTTCCCAGATCTAGTGTATGTAATGATAAGGTGGTATCCACTGCTACATACATGTTTCAAAACATGTACACTTGCTACGATAAATGAGCCAGGTTCAAGAACCCAGTGCTTTTCATGTAACTCATAGGCTCAGGCTATGCACGGAACACCCGGATTCCTTTGGCGAGGTCGTTTTTGACGTACGCACCAACATCCGTCGTAATATGCATACGTATACGTAGCATGGATCATTCCAAAGTGGGCAAACTATGTTTTCCTGAAAATTTAGGTCGTCGTATCGAAAATCATTCTAGTGGTAGTGGCGTCTAGCGGCTGCCCATGCGCCAGCTGAATAATCCGACACGAACTTAGATTTTGCGAGATGCTTACTATCCTTATTGAAAGCTGTTAATTCATTGAAAAGCATGAGCGAAAAGGGTGTGTGTCTAAATTGTCTCTTTGGTAAGGATTTTGCACCGAGAATTCTAGCGTGGCAGATCAAGCATGAAGGTCAACCTTGAATGCTTATTGGCGCGTTTGGAATCTCGACTAGTAGTAAAGAACTTAAGCTCATGATCGAATCGAGGAGCCAATAGACTGGATTGATCTTTAAATAGACGTCATTGTTTAATCGTACGTTCGAAAATATGGTGTACCTGAATTTGTCTGCTTTGTAATGGAATATCATATGCGAATGAGAAAAAAATAGTAAGTATACGCCGGAGAAAGAATGGTTTTGCGGTGCGACCCAGGACCAGACTGTGAGCTCAGCGTATTAAAATGACATAAGCTGACCGGCGGGCTGTATGGAAGTCACGTCAGTATCCACCCCGCCAACATGATGTGCTCAGATTGGGTTTGAAGGACTCGCGGGAAACATTCTGATCATACCAGCAAGATAAGCTTGCGATATGTGGCTGATGGTGATGCTTCGCAACACACCAAATCTTGGCGTGTGACGTTGCTTGACGAGCACACCATAACTGCAAGCTGATTTTTTTGGTGTCAGTATCTCGCTCAGAGATAACAGTTGGTCAGAGGCGCACGTCTTTCGAGATACTAGGCCAGAGGTGCAACTCAAATTTGCAACACCGTATAGGGGTGGGGGGGATCTAAAATTATCTCGGCATTGTCCGTCGTATTGCTCCCGTAACGCTCCGGTACATCCGCATACAACGCCATGATGCGCGAATTGCAGAAATGACGATAGGCATGTGAGAACTGGATTACGAGAATACTAGTAACTAGCGGGTCATTTTTGAGAGATTTTCATTGCACCTTGCTTACGCAGTGTCTTCACGGTAACAAGTGCTTGGAGTTGTGTGTTGCATGTCTGATGCTGGATCCAATTGTAACATTGATTATGGTGATTTTGAGCTGATTCTGAGAAACTCTTATCTTTGACTCCTGGTTCGATGAATTCATACTATGTTCGCATCGAAGAAATGGTTTAAGGAACTACTGATCAATTCTGGCAGTCCACGATATGCCAAGCCGCTAACCCTGCTGACTAAACCGGCTTCTCGCAGCTCAGCATCATCGCGAACACAACGGCCGACGACCTCCAAAAGCCGCCCTACACTCACACCATGCAGTCACTCCGCCGGACAGCAGTGGCTGCTGCCCGCACGAGCCGAACTCCGCTGTCGCGCCAATCGCGCCGCTACGCCCACGACGAAGCTCATGGCCACGCAAGCCCGGCCGTCGACGAGCCCATGGGTGTATGTCCCCTCCTCCCCAATTGTTCCGGCCCAGCTCAGTTGTGTATTTAAAGTGCAGCAATGCTACTCTAGACGATAATTAAGAAGTGAAGAGAAGACTTGCTGACGCAATTGGCATTTGTAGTGGGGTTTCTGGGGCACAATCGGCGTTATCCCCGCAGGCCTGGCCCTATACAGCATCTCGCGCACCGACGGCGATGACAGCAAGCCGTACTTTACCCGTTTGATTTCCGATGCGACAACCGGATTGCACGACAAGTGGACTGCGCAGAACGATCTGCACGTGAGGATGATTGAGCAAGCGGGCGAGGACCGAGTGCTGTTTCTGAACACGAAGCCGCAGGAGCACGTTGAGATGAAGTTTCCAGAGTACGTTTTGTCTTGGCACATTGGAGGATATGCGATGTTAGGCCCGGATGGAGTTGGATATGGAAATATGAGGTTGATGATTGTTAAGGGAGGTGAATGCTAACAATTGACAGGATTATGAATGTTGGATCTCCGTACAACGTTCCTGCTGGAAGCCAGGTCCAAATGGACAAGGTGATTGAAAAGTACAAGAAACTGGCTTATGAAGACAATGAGCGGAAGCTGGAGAAGCTGAGGAACAACGACATCTCGTCAGAGAAGCCATTCGAGGGCAAGACGCGCGTGAAGAAGGCCCCCGATATGTTTTAGACTCCGGCATGTAGATCTAAAGAGTTTTTTTTACAGGAAGTGTACATAGTCGGGGAAAATTGATATCCGCCTTTCACTTGCGATGCGCTTGTGGAAGTGATTGACTTGAAGGTACTGAATAACATGTGGAGAAGTTGCCAAGGTGCTGTAACGAGACCATCAGACAACCCATAAGGCAAGGTGGTGAATGACTAGTCCTCGTCATTCATCGTTCAATGCACGTCTACGCAATGGTATTGTATCTGAGACGCAAAGGAGCAGACGTTAGACAGGCCAGACTGCCTGTGGGGCTAACACTTTTCATCACTAGTTTGAACAGCGCAATGAAACACCAGGCACACGTTTAGATCGGTCTTGTTGCCGCGTACGGCCTTGTGTGTAAGCAGAACATTGGCTGGGCTTCATTAGCGGTGAAGCTGAGCCACGTGGGTGGCTTAATGTGGAGTATGTTCGTAGAGGAGCATGCGGCGTATGAGTTTGATCGGTCTTCTCTGAGGGACAAAGGAAGCTGTTATATTGCTGTCTGCAAGGGATATATGGCAGTTGGATATATGTGTTTAGTATCCCCAAGAATAGACATAGCATGTGTATCCTAAGTACAAGCAAGCGTAAACTCTATAACCCCACTACGGCAAAACGCTGCTGCAGAGGTTGCCATGGCGCGTTTCATAGGGGTGGACACGCACACGTCACTTTGAGTAAGGCTGTTGCTGGGGAGCCGGCCCCATAGCGGCCCGTACCTGGCCAGAGGGTCCTCGGTGATTGGCGCACCCTGCATGCCCATGATGATTCTGCGATGAGGGTGGAAGAAAATAGGCCAGAAGGAAGGACAGCAGGCAGCTGAAGATGGCTAGTCCAGGCCTTGTACAAAGATAGATGAGTCCTGTCTGGCCCACGGTCTGTTTGACAAAAGAATCGCGCTCAGCCATTGCCAACCTCGCCCTTCAGACCGACCGGAACAGGCGAATCGCAAGTGAATCAGAGACAACCTATTGTACACAGAGCCATACACAAGTGCTAGACAGAGACAGCCATGGGAAAGGTACGAGACAATGCCAGGAGTCACAGGGTATATGCTTTTTTGTCTTCTTGTCGCCAACAATCTCCCATGAGATTGCGGTGCATTAATGCAGGCACCCTATAGGAGGGCAGAGGGGTGCTGGGTCGAGGAAAGGGTGTTTCTCAACAGACATGGCCCGACTGATTACAAAATAGATGGCAAGGCCGATGGAAATTCGCACTCGAAGCGTAGTATGGATCATGTTTCGCCGCAAAAAGGGAGTCTTGGTGACTGCGGTTCCAGGTAAGGCTTAGCGCAAAAAGTGGGGCCCCTGTCGTTCGCTGTGCCCTGTGCCAAACATGGCGTATCTCGGGGGAACGAGCGTCAACACCACCATCACTCTCTCATTGCCGCCTCAACGCAGCAATTGCCTGCCTCCGGCCCGCCTCTATCCGACGGGACGCTTGCAGCCCGAAGTTCATGCTGACTTGTGTCACAAAGATTCTGTTCCTTATCTGCCCGAACTCAATTTCAGCCGCGTTCTCCAGAGAAATGACATGAACGGTTCAGCTTGGCCTGACGACGCTCTTCGCACTGCGAACGCAACCCCCATACGCTCCAAGTCCCCGGCTGTCATGCCCTCGTATACGTCACCTCGCAACGTCTCAGGTCCCTTCGCCGTAGACAAGGCCCCAATGGCTACCGACGAGAACAACTCCTGGGCCCGCCCAAATCACCACAGCACGCCAAACTCAAAGACATCGCAGTACATTGACAAGATCACCCAAGAAAACGACCGCCTGCGGCGAGAACTACTTGCCGAGAAGTTGGCCAGAGAAGATGAAGCCAAGCGCGTATCTGCCGCCCAAACCAGAGCCGAAGACTCGCGTGCCGAGTACCAGCACCTCCAAGTCCTTGCTGACACAAACGCGCGCGCCATAGAGCGGAAGGACCGGAAGCTGGAAGAGCTCAGGGCCACGCTCGACACCGAGATCCGCCGGCGCAAGATGGCAGAGCAGAGAGCCGAGGAAGCCCTCAAGATGCTGGGCGACACTAGGTCAGAGACGCAGCGACAGCTGGCACAGGCGTACGAAATGAAGGGTCTGGCAGACACCAACCTCGAGACGGCACGCGACGGCTTCAAGCGCATCAGCGACGGCTACGAGAACAAGGTCCGCCTCATCAACCAGGAACTGAACGAGCTGCGACGCAAGCGACTAGAAGACGCCGATAAGATCAAGCGCCAGGCTATCATAAGCGATCAGCTACAACACGAGTCATCCCGCTCCACCCGAACCGAGGCCAAGCTCACCAACCTCATGGAAGCATACAAGAAGGAGCACCGCAAGGAAATGGACGCCCTTATCGCCGAAGCAGAGAGGCTGCGACGCGCGTTGCCAGAAAAGGAGCGCGAGGCTCAGAAGCTGGTAGACGCCATGGTCGAGACGCGCGACAAAATGCGGTGGGTCATGACACAGCATGAGCGCCAGACAGCCAGTCAGTCTTAATGCCGTCCCTGTTACCGCTCACCACTTGTGGTGAACTGGTCTAATGCCAGTGCATAGACCAGCGCGCGCTTCATCACACTCTACGACGATCATGACCAAGTTTGATTCCCGGGCTCAAAAGGCATCTGTAGCATATCTGGATACTACGGCGTTTAAGGCATTACATCAGCACACACATACACACTTGTGTAGGCCACTCTCACCCTCCCATCTTGGTGAGAGTTGGAGTGCAGTGCAGTACAGTGCATGTGCACCAGTTTTTGTTTCTTTTTTTTCGTGAATTAGTCTAGGGGCACAAGGGAGGGGTATGTAGAAAGCAGATGAATGGAGATCGGCGGACTATCTGGCATCAATCCATCTGTTCAACAGCCCAGTTTCTGACAACTCTCTTTGCTTGCCTTGGACATTCTGTGTGAGTAGATAGGATAATGTTTAAATATACCTGAGTGGATCTTCATTCCCGTCAGCTTGGCTCACCTAAGTGCTGGGATAGGGATAGTAATGCATTGAGGGGTCTAAGGGTGCTCCTTCCTTTACTTGAATGCCAAGTGAATTAGGATAGGTTTCTGACTTGTATCAAGTATACAGAAACCGTCTTCCTTCATACATCGTTCTCAGAAGACAACCAGACTACGTACGCAAAGATAGTACTGCGTCCGCGTATCGCAATAAACCCATCAAGCAACAGCACCAAAACGACTCACAGTTCCTTATCCATTCCATGATCACCATCGCTGCCTGCCAGTTACACCAAACGGCCCGGTGCTGCAGACTAGACGCCCAGGGGAACGGCTAACAGCAGGGTCACTCTAAACAGATACCCGTACGTAGCGCAACACTAGCACCAGTGATCCGATCGATTGATATCAATTTTTCCGTGCTGCACCTGTCCCTGACTTTCGGTGCACATACCACGATGCACGACTAGTAAGCGCTCCTAAGCTTTACTACCCATGCAATTACTTACAGGAAATGTGTAGGCCAGGGTAGTGTTGTTTGTGCCAAGGAGCAGAAAACGAGTAATAGTATCGGCGAGCCGCTCATTCCCCTCCTTTGTCAATCACTGCTATGTTTGCTTTCGTTACATCAGCAATACTGGATAACTAACGTGAAGATGAAGAGGCGGCCTGTTGGGAACTAAGTAGTGCACAAAACATAGGTCCATAATTTGACAAGGCGGATTAACGTGCCTCACCAGCGCAAACGACGTGCAGTTTCGTTCTCACCGTTACTATTCAGTACAACACTCATGCTAACAACCTTGGTACCGAATAGCGCCATTGACAAACGAGATGTCATCCCACCTTTCCCGCTTCATCACGGATGTAATGACACATGAGACCACCTACCGAATGCAACAGAGTCTGGAATTTAGAGAGAAGAAAGGCCTAGACGGCACGCGTATTTACCTCCGCATGATCTAACATATGTTCATGCAACTATGGCATCCCTTCTTTATTCGAAAGAAGAGAACAAAGTGCGCAGTGCCATTGTATCGCATCAACGTTGACCACATACTAGGGAGCAAGGACAAAGCAGATACCTTTACTATTTCCGCTTGAACCGTTATTTCTCCGTGACACCCGTGTATACCAGCGTCTTCATCGGTGTGTCACAGCATAGAACTTCAATTCGAATGCATCTAGCGTCTTCGCAAGGGGAACTCGATAGGGATCACAACACTTGCGTCTCCGCCTCGCATTACAAGCACAACCTGTGTACCACAAATCCCTACCAATTCAACCGTTAGCACTTTGTTTCATCAACAAGAAGAGACGGACTCCACCGTCTCACCCCCGCACATGCGCAACTGCGATACCCGAGCAAACGAGAAGCTCAGAAAACTCACATCTCATCCCTCATCGCAAGCCGGGAAACTGCATTCCATGTCTGCTAAAAAAACGCCACAATACACACGCGTTACACAAAGACCTGTACATGTATCCTTCTAGTCCTAGATAGCCGTTATACAAAGTGTGCAGAGCATGAGTATATAAGACTGACTACCCATCTACATCTCCTACCTCCGTCTCCATCTTTCAGTCCCATCCACAACACTCAATCGTCGCTTCTTCTCTTTTATCGCTCAACCGCCCTCAATCGCCCAAGAACGCAACGATAAGAAAAGATGTGCAAGCACTCCCTCCTCTACACCCTGTCGATTCCCTGCATGAACGACGCAGAGGGTATAACTACAATGCCTGTACGTATTCCGTCATCCTCCCCCCCCCCCCCCCCCTCTTTTTTTTTGATTCCCTCCATATTTCCTACCTCCCCCATCTCGTTACACCGAGAAGCATATGATGAAGAGGGAAATGAGTAACAGTACAACTAGGTCCCCGGCCGTCGCTGCCCCGCCTGCCTCGAACGCGGCGACACAGTCTGGGTCATCCCGGGGAAGAACTGTCATGAGTGTGGGACGCCTGTTAACTAAGATCACTCACTCCTCTACACGGTTCCGGTTTGGGGATGGAGATAGGGCAATACATGGAAGAGACGGGGCGGGGAGATGAATGCATTTGAGCTCGGGATGGTCGTTCGGTTTGCATTTTCTGAGGCAGAAGGGGTAATTTGTTGGGGTTTGGAACCTGTATTTGTAGCTTGAGTGTATGGGTTGGCTCGAGTTCGAAACTTTCAGTGGAATAAAAGTTTGTTGGTGTTCTGATTGATTTGATTGTTGTTAAGTATTGTTGGTCGAGTGTATGTCATGTAGGATGATGGGCTCAGCCTAAAAAAACTGACCAGTACTAACAGTATGAACATCAACGTGCATTTCGGAAAGCCAAGGAAAGACTATAACTATCCCGCTACTAATAACACCGCTCCAAGACTAATCGCATCTCACTTTACGCCTTTCGAAGCCGAACGGATTTCTGGCGACCAACCTGATACCACCGCTTCTCGTCCTTGGTCGGGTGATACAATGACTGCGTCCTCCCGCGTCCTTGATGTTTATACAGACTATCATGCGAAAACTGCTTTCCACGCCCAAACCGAAGGCCGACCGGAAAAAACTATATATCCGCATTAGTCAAACCCGCCATCCAACCTAAACAGGCCACATGTAGTAAGTATGTGGCACAGCGTGATATGAGGAAAAGAAAATATACGGTAAGAAATAACAATGATAATAGTAATAGTGGCAGATACTCTACGGTCATGAGATAGCTCAAGCCGCACTAACCGTCTTCGTGATGCGGACCAGCAGTGCGCCTTTGGATACCACACCGTTTGCATCGTAAAGGTGGAGGATGCGGTAACCGTTTTGCAGACGGTCGAGACGGAAGCATGCCCATGCGGCTAAGTCGTCGCTGATGCGCTCGTCATCCATGACCTTGAATCTGTAGGAACATAATGTTAGCCTGTGTTACTGGAACTTGGTTGCATGCTCCCAGGTACGATGACATCAATTGTACCACAGCGATCAGTGCTTGAGTTTCTTGCATCGAAGCAGGCTCGCTGCACGAGCTGAGCAAGGCACAGAAGCGCTGTCGTAGCGTACAAAGTGACGAGGCCTGATACCGGAATCACGGCACTCTGCAGCTTGGCAGATTGAATCCCAGCAATATGCCACGACCGCTATCTCCACATTCACTTCAGCGCCCGTTAAAGCATCAGACCGTGCCTACGTAGCACACAAGCACATCGAATACCAGATCAGCTCTGGATATTCATGCAGGGACGTCTTGTGCGATAGGTCGGACCTGAATCCATATGCATATAGGCGATGCGTGTAACCCGTGGCGATGTGTACACGTAGCGAAAAAAAGAAAAAGAAACTCACCTGACAAAAGTCAATTCGTCCGTCACGCCATGTACGCCAGTAAATTTGATGACTTCGCGACCAAAGTCGGGATTCGGGGTCCTAGCCGTCTTGGTCTTGTCTTTGTATTCACCCTTTTGACTCCTTCCGTTGCCTTGTACAGGTTCGGCATTTCGCTCTTCGTGAGACTCAACGTGTAGCTCGACCTTGACGTATGGCTTAAAGTCTTTAGGGTCGTCTTCTTCTGGAGGCAGAGGAATGTTTTGTCCGGCGATGAACTCGATGCTCAGATCCATGTCCTGATGGGGGATGGCTGTTTTTTGTGTTGCTGCAGTGCTTGTGCTACGATATCCCTCTGGCTTGAGAACCCATCCAGGAGTACCTGCGAACATGGCCTCGTTCTGCATCATTCCACCGTCCCAGCGTTGCCAGTTGAGAGCTACCATCTGGACTCCCGCACGCCAAAAGACGGAGGGGTTGAGGTTTGAAGACGTCAGCCGGAGACCTTTTGGGTAGGCGCGCATAAAGTAGTGTTTGTTGTGCTCGAAAATTTCTGTAGGCTTGCTCTCGTGAAGATCCATCAATGTGCCTTCTGAAAGCGAGAAAACGTGCGTAGGTATCTTTGCCTCGGGAGTGTCTAAGCCCTTGTACGAGTAGCCACCACAATACACACCCAGTCTCGCTAGAGACTCTATGACCTTGGGCTTTGGCGCTGGAGGCTTCTTCTCGCCGTCTGGCCCAACTTCATCTTCTGAGCCTACGGAGTCCAGACTTGCAGTGTGCTCTAACGGCGGCACTGATTCACCAACTGCGGGAACCTGTGGCTCAGGAGGAGGAGATACCTTGGGATGACCACGCTTGACCTTGACGAGAATCTTGTTTTCCAGTTCCTTGAGTGCAGGCAAGCTGACCGCGTCTAAGCTCTGGTTTGGATCCAGTGGCTCTTCAAGCATCATGCCCTTCCAGTACTCTTGCATGAGCTCGACCATGATCTGTTGTTGCTCAGGACCACAGTGTACTTCCAGACTGACAATGAGGGGTAGGTTGGATACTGCAAACGCGTATTCTCTGATGGTTGCGCAAACAGATCGAAATGTCATCTCCTTGGTCAAAGTGTAGCCGTGAAACACTTTTGGTTCCGCTCGGGAACTGTATGAAGCAGAGTGCCAGGGCTCAATCTTTTGCATGTCATTTTGAGGCGGCGGAGGAGCGGTCTCGGTTTTTTCTTCGTCTGACTTGTCTTTGCCAAATTTCAAGCCCAGGCGTTTGCGGATGCTCAGACCAGTCTTGGATTTCTTCTTCTCCTTCCTCAATTCATCGGCACCAGGATTGCCTCTAGCGGCTTCTTCATCTGAACTTGAGTCGGATAGCTCATCACCGTCCCAAACGTCCACCTCAACGCAGCGACAACCTCGCATCAGGACGTTTTTGTAGGCGTCGACACTCGAGTCGCTCGAGAGCTGGTTACCGGTGAGGTATGTGTTGTGGCTGGAAGAGATGAAGTAGTTGGAAATCGGGTGCGATTCATCTAGAGGTGGTGCAGGCTTCATCATGTTGCCTAGTCCTGAGGCGAAGTAGTTGGCAAAAGAGGGAAACGAGCCGTCGCCCAGGAGCTCTAGGTGACTGTCTACTACAGTTTCGAAGTCTTTGCCAGGGCCATTCTGCTCCTTGAGCCAGCTCAATTGTCCTTCCTTGGTTTGCAGATTGTGACGGCCCAGGATCTCGTTGTATACGACTCGGAGGTAGCTTTGGAGGATTGACAGGTCATCAAGGGTACGAGCTTTGGCGGCGACGGCGGCTGTTCCTCCTCCAGCCTGGAGCTGGGGGTTGTCAATCTTGGGCGTACCCAGCTTGCTATCCTTGGAGGGGTCCGGCATCGTGGGGGTGTTGGAGGGCAGCAACACCAGGCGTGTAGAGGGGATTGTAGGAAACCAAAATGAACAATTGGAGTAAGACTGGAGGCAAAGGCGCAAGGCGACGGGGGCGCCTAGTTATGCAGGGCTGGTAAATTCTTGGAGGAATGCTGACTGCAGGACTGCAGGACTGCAGGAAGCTCAGCTGTCTAGAACGATGTCAGCGCTTCCTTTTCAAGTATGCGTTTGCGTGTTCCCTGAATCGTGCGCAGCATACCTTGGGCAAGATTTATGCTCGTCTACTGCAATGCAGCGGTTAATTTGGGCGTCTAGGAGATTTGAGCGTGGCAGAAGTATCTAAGAAGAGAGGAGAGGCGGCTGGTCATGTAGTAGGCATAGATGCAATGGCCTCATATTCCAGCTCGAGCCTGCCTTGGCTGCCGCATCGGCGTTTGATGATCCAGTTGGTGGGGCGCAAGACAAGGGAGTGAACCCATGGATAAATGCCACGCGGCATTGGACATGAAGATACTGCATTAAGCCATTTGCTTGTTAACGAGGAACAATGCCCGGTTTGCGTTGATGGCTGCCATGCCACACCCGCCTTGCCGCACCCGCCTTGCCGCACCCGCCTTGCCAAGCTGTGTCGACGTCACCCAGGGTGTCAGGGTCCAACCGTTTCGAAACATCCATCGCATTCGTCCCACTGAACGCATACTATACATAGCACATCCATAATGGCAAAATCACGGAAAGAAGCAGAGAGCGAAGTTCGGTCGTGGGGTTTTGGCCATGTTTTCACGTGGACAGATGGCTCGTAAGTTTGCACTACCGTCTCCCTACATATATTAAGTCTGTTTGACCACCGCGTAGCAATGCTCACTACCCGCCGCACAAGCACAGCGGCAAAACCACACATCTCGTCCTGGACGGCTCCCTAACATACACCTACCCTGATGAACCTGATGCCAAGAAGGAAACTGTCGGTCCTGGCGCGCGATGGGATGTCGATGCACAAAAGGTGCATGAAGTTTGGGTCGGCAGCCAAGGATGTACCTATGTCATTGGAGAATAGTATCAAACACCAGATACCCTTCATATGTTCACCCCAGAAATCCATTCTGCCCCAAGTATTTGATTGCATCAAGCGCTAGCTGGTCCGCCTTGACAAGCTCCTGCTCCACCATGCGCTCATACAACCCCTGAAGCTTAATATTCTCTTCTTTTGGTGGGTGCTGGTATTTGCATTTGCTCAAGTACGGACACCTTCCGTTTCGCTTCCAATTCGTGCACATTTTGTTGCTCTTCGTTTCTGCTCGCGAATTCGCACGCGGAGGAGGTGGGACTTTTATTGGCGGCGGAGCGGTTTTTGATGACGCCGTTTCTGGTGCCTGGTCGTCACTCTCTGAATCGGAATCTGATTCTGATTCTTCTGAACCGGACACGACTGATGACTCGGAGAGAACCGAACTCTCTTCATCTGACTCCGTCTCGCTATCATACCCCAGTCCAAGGTCTACCGTTGCTGGTGTCGACTGCTTCTTCACCATGCTCTCATGCAGCTTTTTGCGCAACGTAGCCAGCTCCTCTCGTCTCCTTTTTTCTGCCTCTTGTTTTTCGCCATCATTTTTGGCTTCATCACGATCCTTATTCGGTTGTTTTTGAATGTATGTCGCTTGTTCGTTCTCTTTTGGTGGCTTCCCTTTCATTCTGCGCAGAAACTCGAGCTCTGCTGAACGTTTCTGCGCGGCTGCTTCCTGTTTTTCTATGATCCTCTGTTGTGTTGGAAAGTTTTTCCTGCGATCCTTGATCCATGCTGCCACTTCAGCACCCGTTTGTATTGTGATGGTCTCTCCTTCGTGCTCAAAAGCGAAACCTCCGCCCTTTAGTTTCGCAGAGAACGCAGCCTCTTCGTCGACGTCCTCTTCACCACTGCTTTCGTCCTGCTCGACTTTTTGTGAAAGCCCAAGAGTGACCTTGCGCTTCTTGTTGTCGGGTTTCGGGATCGAGGGTAGCGGCAGCGAAAAGCCAAAGCTGGGGACCTGTGGTGGCACGGCAGCTTTGGCTCGGGGCGGTTTCGAGCTGTGTTGCTGGGGGTTCCTCTGCGACTGTGCATTGCCGTTACGGTCGGTTAATTTTCGCTTCTGGCCTGCATGTTTGGGCGGAGAATACTGAAGACCGGGCTGGCTGTATGCGGACGGTGAAGGCTGGGAGTTGGCATGTGCTTCTGGCGAGGTGGCATTCTGCGGCGCATTCCCATGGTGGTTTCCATGGCCATCTCTGGTGTCGTTCTTGTGATATCCAACTCCTCTGTTGTTTTGATAACCTCCCCTTTGGCTTCTACCACGTGCATCTCCTCGCCCATGATTCTGTCCATGACCACCCCTTGAGTTCCCGGAAGCGTTATGAGAGCCGCCACCTCTGTTCTGATTTCCCCCTCTTCCGCGACCCCTCTCACTTCCTCCTCGGTTGTGGCCTTCTCGTTGGCTTGGGTATGGCTGCTCGTTTGATGTAGCCTTGGGCGGCGGCGGTGGAGGCGGAGGAAATCTAAACGTCATTATGGTAAGTGCGAGGTTGTTGATTATAACAATTACATCTAGTTCATTGCGCCGGGTATACGATCGTTGAAAGGAAAAGCGCAATGAAGTTGGTGAAGAAGAGTGAAAAGTTGGTTACGGCAAGAGATGAGACGCGCCTCGGGGGTCCGACGACAATCCAAAAAGTTGTTATCGATAGTGCTAGCTCCACGCTAATCGTTGCGCAAGTCGCGCTTCTGATTCTTGACTCTCACAACTCAATCACAATGTATAGGTGACGAACGCTTACTACACCGAAATCCATGAAGCCTCCAAATTTGCAAACATGTTCATACTCGTAAGTCAAGTTCAGTTTGGATGGCGTTCCAGAACCTGAGATATGACCTCTATGGATTGTCGAAAATTTCAAAGCATTATTACCTTCACAGTCCCATGTTACTTTTGTGTAACTCACTCCGCTGCTGTGGAAAAAACTCTATAGAGAAAAACTGACACGCCCCTAGACTACGATTCAAGACTTGATCCAAATCAAGCCGCAGGACTTTGAGAAGCCTAGCGCGCAAGCCATCAAGGATGTCATCAACGACAAATACAGCAACAGGATTATTCCCAACATTGGCCTCTGTCTTTGTATGTGGGATCTACTCTCGGCTTCCGAGGGCCTCATCGGCCATGGCACGGGGCTTGTAAATGTCAATGGTCCGTCACCACTCGTCTGCTAATCTCCCCATGCTCACGCCAAATGCAGTCGAGTTCCGCATGACTGTCTTCCGCCCTTTTCGTGGCGAGATCATCTATGGGCGCATAAAGTCTTCCAATCAAGAAGGTATCATCATCGACCTCGAATTCACTTCAGAGACCTTCATACCGTATCAGAATCTCCCAGAGAACTCGTCATTCTCACAAGCAGAGAATGTCTGGGTGTGGAACTCAGAGGGAACGGAGCTCTTTTTTGACAAGGGAGAGCCGGTTTTGTTCAGGGTAGAGCACGAAGAGTGGTTTGATCAGCGGCCGACGATTGTAGAAAAAGACGAAAAGGGCGAGATCATTGAAGAGAGACCCACAGCCTGGAGAGTGATTGTAAGTATATGAAGGCTTACCAAGTAAGTAGTCGTCTAACTGTGTGTGTCTAGGGTTCGATGGCTCAACCAGGTCTTGGCCCGACACTCTGGTGGGCCGAAGGCGGAGAAGAAGGCGAAGAGGGAGATGTTGATATGGAGGAGGGGGCCGAGGAATGACAAGTCTCCTTGGCTATTCCGAACCATAACATCGCTGAATGACAAGATTACGTGCATGTTCTCAGAATTCCGATGTGGGTTTGCTATCATACACGTAGCAATTCAATCTGCAGGATAAATCTAACACACCGCATCTTGCAACCCTAAACTTCAGTATTCCTTCTCCACCGCGCCCATTGTATTCGTAGGAACCCGTTCTTCGGGCCTTCTATATGCAGACAGCAATGTGATTACCTGATAACCGCGGCGCTTAAGCGTCAGCGCCAACCGGCGCACCTACCCAGCGTCCGCAATAGGAAGTTCCCATCCGAACCTCGGCACCTTTCTCCGCAATCCTCTGCATACCAGCTCGAATGTGGCTGGTCCGGCCTAATCAGTGCGGATACCAGACTGCATGCAAACAAAATGGCGGGCCACCCGTACCTTGGGATCCTTTCTTATTGTTTCACCATTGCTTTTGTCCCTTTTTATTGACACGTTTGCTGTGATAGCTACGCAGTGCAGCTCTCAACCTCGGAAGCTTAGTCCTACTACATAATCGATTCGTACCCCGATAGTCGCTCCTCCATTCATTTCTCTTTGATATCAACACCAAAATGCCCTCATACACATCAGTCCACCTCGCTGAGCGACCCAAGGACGGCATCGTAGCCGGCAAAACCTTCACACCCAAGTCTCACCCGGTCCCCTCGGCCTCCTCGCTCAAAGATGGCGAAGTCCTCTTCCAAACCTTGTACCTCTCCATCGACCCCGCCATGCGCGGCTGGCTCAATCCCACACGCTCCTACATTCCTCCTGTACAAATTGACGCCGTAATGCGCGGGCAGGGCATCGGCCTTGTCATCGCGAGCAAAAACCCCAAATTTCCCGTCGGCACGTACGCAAAAGCCATGTGCGGCTGGGCCGAATACGCCGTGATTCCAGGAAAAGACATCGAGTCCCTGGATCTTCCCGAGGGCGCCGTACCAACGGATGCGTTGGGTGTCCTTGGAATGACAGGTTTAACGGCGTACTTTGGTCTCCTTGACGTCGGACAGGTTAAACCGGGAGATTTTGTCGTTGTGAGCGGAGCGGCGGGCGCAACAGGAAGTGTAGTGGGCCAAATTGCTAAGCTCAAGGGCGCAAAGGTTCTGGGTCTTGCCGGCGAGGATAGCAAAGTTGCGTGGCTTAAGGACACGCTGGGATTCGACGAGGCGCTTAACTACAAGGACCCGGATTTTGTAAAGAAATTCCGCGCTGCGACCAAGGGACTGATTGATCTTTTCTTCGATAATGTTGGCGGAGAGATTCTCGACCTGGCGTTGAGTCGTGCGAAGCCGCATGCGAGATTCGTTATTTGTGGTGCTATTTCTGATTACAACAACAAGAAGCCGTCTGGGCTCAAGGTATGTGGATGAGGTTTTCGGGGAGTGTTTGGGACGATGCTAACTGCCATGCTAGAACTACATGATGATCATCTCGATGCGTATTCGCATGCAGGGTTTCGTTATTTTCGACTATGCGGACAAATACGCTGAGGCGAGAAAGGAGTTGGCGCAATGGTTGTCGGAGGGCAAGATTAAGCGCAAGGAGACTATTTACGATGGCGGAATCACCAAGGCTGAGGAAGCACTGGTTGGACTGTTTGAGGGCAAGAACACAGGTATGTTTTTTTTTCCGCAACTGGATGCATATGAACTTGGAGACTGACTATTGCAGGCAAAATTCTCGTAAAGGTAGCAGATCCCGAGGCTGCCAAGTCGAAGCTATAGTTGGAGTGTTTCGGAGAGCAAAAATCTATCTAATACCTTTCTGTTTGGCAACTGATATATTTCAAATGGTTGCATGCTTGGCTCGTGATGTATTACTCTATTACTGCTCCTCCATGCGCCTGCAATCGATAAGTTTTGTGGCGCTAATAGCCCCTCGGCCCTGGCCCCTGCGCCCAACTTTTACACCGTAGTAGAGATCGCCGCCGGCCGTCAAATCCCCCACCCTCGCAGTCAGCCTTGTTAAAGCTCCTTCTTCTCAAGGCATGTTATGCTCCGAACCTTCATGCGAACAATAACACGAGCCATGGCCTCCCCCGAGCCCGCACGTGTGCCCATCCCCAAGAATGGCGTCGACTACCGCGGCAAAGTAGTGCTTGCGCCAATGGTGCGCTCCGGCGAATTGCCCTCACGACTGCTGGCGCTCAAGTACGGCGCAGACCTGGTATGGGGTCCCGAGACAATTGATCGCGCCATCATCGGTACCACAAGGCGTTTCAACCCGCACACGTCGACGCTCGAGTTTACACGCCTACCTACGTCTAAGATAAAGAACCCGACCCTCGACCCCGACCTCCGCGAGAGCGTCATATACCGCATACACCCCGAGTTGGAGAAGGGCAAGCTCATCTACCAAATTGGTACGGCAAACCCCGAGCTCGCAGTCCAAGCAGCCAAGATTGTCGCAGCAGATGTGGCTGGGATCGATGTCAATTCAGGTTGCCCCAAGCCATTTTCTACCTCTGGCGGAATGGGCGCGGCGCTTCTGAGAACACCAGACCTGCTCTGTGACATCCTCACAAAACTCGTTGAAGAGGTGGGCAAGCCATTCGAGATTGGCATCAGCGTCAAGATCCGCATCCTCGACCAGCCAGAAGACACTGCTGCCCTGGTAAAGCGTCTAGTCCGCACCGGTATCACCGGCCTCACCGTCCACTGCCGCACCACACCCATGCGACCTCGAGAGCGGGCGATACGCGACCAACTCAAGATGATCGGCGAGATATGCAGAGAAGCCGGCGTCGCCTGCGTCATGAACGGCGACGTAACCTCCCGCACCGAAGCCCTCAAGCTCATGCAAGAATTCTCCGTCGACGGCGCCATGATCGCCACCGAGGCCGAAAAAAATCCCAGCTGCTTCCGACCCGACGCCGAAGGCGGGCCCCATGAATGGCGCTCCCAGTGGAAAACCGTAGTCACAGAATACATGCGCTTCGCCCTCCAAGTCGCAAACAGATGGGGGAACACCAAATACCTCCTCGGCCAAATGATTCCTGGTAAAGAAAAAGCGTACGCTGCGATGAATAAGTCGAAGTGTTATACCGATGTTATCAAAGCGCTCGGGCTGGATAAGGTAGATGATTTGTTGGCGCAGGCGGAAAAAGTGGATGAGCACCTTGGTATTCCGATCAGTGAGTCTAGAGCATCGAAGCGCGCGAGGGTTAAGGAGGCGATTAAGCCTGAGGGGGAGGCGAAGGAGCAAGGGGGGAAGAGAAAGGAGAGGGAGGGCGAGGAACCAGAGGCTAAGCGGATTAAAGTACCGGAGATGGAGGTGGAGACGGAGGCGGAACCGGAGGTCAGTGTTACGCAGGCGAACGAGGTTTTGGTTCCGGCTGCTTTGAGTGTTTAGGCTTCCTTGTCTCGTGTCCTTTCCTCTCTATTTCTTTGGGGGCAGTTTCTGTGTATATCATAACGTACGGGGGAGGTGTGGACATGGGGAGTGCATTGGTAGGCGTATTCATATAGCATTTCGAAATATTTAGCCCGACGATACAAAGCAATTTACGGATATTATGGAAATTCTGGGTTGTGGTTTTTTCTGCGACACCGAGTATCGGGTTTTCGAGTCTTGTAGTGCTTTGCCCGAGGAGTGGAGCGCTGACGTTGATCGAGGTGGAAGAACTGAGTGTTTAGAGGTTGTATAAGGGGCTCGAAGGGCTGTGTAGAGTGTGGGGAGGGGGAGGGAGGGTAGACGAAACAGGTATCAAGTTCTAGTATTGTACAGTAGACTAGCCGTGGTAGGGAGATATCTAGGGTGTAAAATGATCAATCAATCTATATCTGGAATCTATGTCGACCTGGCTGTGAGGAGCTCTCCTGACTTGTATTCTCTTCCGACAAACGATTGATATCTAAGCGATATTGGTATCTTAGGATACCGTGGCCACCCCACATATCAATTGCGGCATTATCTCGAGAAGACTTTTTGAAATTCTCTCCTTTTGAAAACTCAACTTCGGTGACTGGGAGCTTACGAAGAGCAATATCAATGAAATCTTGCGTGTTGTGTACTGGAGCAGAAACTCTCATAAAACGTTGAGTCCGATTACCTCGCTTCAGAAAACATGGATGACCAACGTTCGGGCCCTCAGACAGCCTTATTGCACGCAACTCCATTTGGGTAATGGAGTTTCCTAAGACGATCGTTCCAGACAATCCTGAACCACTGACATCTCGAAAAAAGACTGTAACTGAGAAATGATTTTGGCGATGCCTTGGTAGCGGAAATTGCGCTTCGGTGCCAATACATGTTGTAGTGGGATAACCTTGAGTCTCGCAATGCCACTCTTCCGCTGTTAAGGTGGCACTGTGGAGTTTGAATTTGATATATTTCCCAAGCCAGTTTTGGTCAATATAACCGGGGATAATCTTTCCGACCGGCTCTATCCCACGACCGGGATGAGCATCGTGAACAGTGTAGGCTCCTAGCTCTGCCTGGTCCGCCCGGATCATATCTTCTTGCAGAAGGAGAGATTTTTCCGACAAGCGCACATAACTTGCAGAAGATATCTGTTGAAGTGAAATCCCCAAAAGTGAATTTTGATGACTCCGCAATATGACAATGACTGTCTGAGCTGGAAAGCGTACATTGTGGGAGTTTCGCTCGTCCTTGGGAAGATTATTGTACTGCACTAGAGGCATCTTGATCATAACACTGTGACTCAATAGCTGAATATAATGGGCATCTTGCAAACCGGCTGGCCAGAGACTTCGATTTGAGACAATTTCTGAGTAGAGTAGTATATCTGAGCAAAAGCATTCTGCATGGTTCTTGCACACACTACAAGTCTTATTTGTGAAGAACCTCTGGATCGAATCCGCCAGCATTGGTGTGTTGGCACGAGGACGGCTCCGGGTGAATAAGAAAAGACTGTGGTCGGCGCTTTCCTCAAAAATAGACTGTTGTAGTATCTGGAATGCCTTGACTTCACCTTCGCCATATGAGAGCGGCAAATTGACATTGAAGAACCATATTAGAACAGGTTAATTCAAAGATATACTAGCCTTCAGTATCGTGATCTAAAGCCGATTTCTAGCGAGGAAGAAGGGCGCCGGAGAGACCTGCGGTTCATCCCTTTCAATGAAGAAATCCGTGTGAAATGGAGGTTGTGATTCTTGTTGAGAGCTGTTCTTTCTTTTCCCCTCTACAAACTTAGGGTACATGCATACTGTTGCTAAAAGCTGTCAAAAGTAAGTAAACCTTCAGTATCCATTGTAGTATTTCCAGTCGTGCATGCAAAATTTCACTGAATACCGAGATGCATCATGCGACTATTTCAACCAACACCAAGATGAGATCTCTTCTCATGGACGCTACAACGCTACGACAGGGAAAATGACGGGGATAGAGTGAAAGCAAGGTGTTGAGGCATGGCAGGCGTTCCGTAATGGCGTCGGTTCCGATTGGCTATCGGAAGCTGCACGTTCCGAAAAAATGCCCCACCATGATTTCGCATTGCTTGGTCATATTCGACAAAGCATCGACGCCTGCCAAGCGACAGCAGAACCATCGCTGGTTGCTAAACATCAACTAAGCCACCCAGTCCACCATGTCATCCACTCACACGCGCATCGAATGCGCGTCCGAAGATTCTAGTCGCCCTCGTCGCCTCCGCTATATAGCGCGCCCCCCAGCACCATGAAGACCCTCACATCCATCTTTTTCGCAATCGTCGCGATCGCACTTGCTATCTACAATAACGAGTACATGCTTTCACGAGTAACGAGCTCTCTGAGACACGTTACATCCCTCGCAAACATCACCAATCCGTTTCTCATCACTACCCAAAATATGTCGTCCACCATGTTCCGCGGCCTCCCCGTCATACCTGACGAGACCTATACGACCAATGCGCCTCGCAAGATTGCCAAGTCGTTCCTCGCAATCGAGCAATCCGAGGGTGCGGGCGCCAGAGTGAGGAGGAGCGTCGGCACGCCAAAACTTCGAAATTTTTCCCCCTTTTTGATGCTTGATCATTTCGCCATTCCCCCAGGCGCAGGCTTTCCCGACCACCCGCATCGTGGTCAGGAAACTGTGACATATTTACTGTCTGGAGCAGTGGATCATGAAGATTTTGCAGGAAATAAGGGTACGATCGAAGAAGGGGATTTGCAGTTTATGACCGCAGGACGCGGTATTGTACACGCCGAGATGCCCCGCCAGAACAAGGACGGCTCTCCGAACGTTGGCATGCAGCTGTGGGTTGATCTTCCCAAGGAGTTGAAGTCATGCGAGCCGAGATATCGAGATCTCCGTGCCAAGGAAATACCTCAGGCGACGGCAGACGACGGTAGGGTGAAAGTCAAGGTCATTAGTGGCCAGGCTTATGGTGTAGAGAGCCTCAAGGAGCTGGCCTATACACCCGTCTGGTTGCTGGACTTTACAGTCCAGCCGGGTGGCAAAGTTAAGCAACCACTGCCTAAAGGCTGGAACGCGTTTGCCTACGTACTCAACGGCACAATCATAGTTTCATCCGACGGCGTTTCGCGACCCATCGAACAGTACAACAATGTCGTCTTTGAGGGCGACGGCGACAGCGTCGAAATATCAGTTGAGGAGGGTGCCGAGAAGGAATCAAGATTCGTGCTGGTGGCTGGGTTGCCATTGGATCAGCCTATTGTACAATACGGCCCATTCGTGGTTACCTCGAGAGACGAGGTAGTGCAGGCTATGATGGACTATCAGACTCACGCCAATGGGTTTGAGAGAGCCGAGAATTGGGAAAGCGAAATCGGAAAAACTATGGTACATTAAGCGGCGGTCGGAGCCTCGAAGATTTTTGTATATACCCTCTTCAACAGTCTTGCTTGCTTTGTAGCGTTTCCAATCAATGTAGTTTAAACAAATCTCAATAAGTTTATCATCATGACTTATGAATCCATGCTGTGCTTGCGATCGTCCCATTTAAGTATTCACGATGAAGTACAATACGTGAAAAGCGTTCGTTGAGCTATCTAAACTTGCAATGCACTTTGTGTTAAGACGAACTGCGTAGCTAAGGAACTAGTTTTGAATTCATACATATAACTAACCCAGAACGTATTTTTGAGTAAATCCAAATCATACAGTAGAACATTAACACATCTCACGTAAGCATTAATCATACAACTAGAGCGCTCGACAAACAAATAAAAAGCTTGAAAAGTAACATCGAATCAGCAGATTCATAGCTCCCACAGCAAAGTTCCTGACAATAGAAGTAAGAAGAACAAATAATACTCCAGGAACATAAGGTCGAGAGCATCAAAGTCTAATATTGTGATTAAGAAGATAGATTAGTATGAGTGTTGGAGCATGCATCAGGCGTTACTTCTTCTACATCAGTTTCTTAATACTTGCTCCAACAGCGACTGTATGTTCAGATTGTACTTATCCACTTTTTACCACCAAATGCAAAGAAGCAACATGTTAAACTGTAGCGGTAGTTTGTAATGATGAGAGGTAGAGGCATTCGTAGCACGAATTACCCCCTGATCTCGTATTCGCATGGCGTTCATCCAATTAGAAACAACCTCAATATGGTAAGATATCTAACATCTCACAGCTTGTGTTTCTTCATAAACTGGCAAATCTAGGTGCTGCCCGCTATATTCTTTTGAGAAAACACTAGATGCGAAACAATTGTATACAATTATTGTTTTTTCCATGGTATTTCAATATATTGACTAATACGGGGTTTTGTCTAATGTAGCTAGATACAGGGATATTTTTTGCATAAAGGTTTAATAGTCATGTAGGAGAGAATTCTCAAGTTTGTTCAGCACTAGTTAAATCTTAAGAACCGTTTTCTATGAAAGTCTCAGAAATTGAAAAGGGATTGGTTTTGACACTGAAGTAATCTCTGGTAATTGGGTGTTTCTTCTCATTGTACACCATTCGAGGAATGTTTCTCCATATTTTGACGGTGCATGTTACTACTCATTGAAAAGTTCACGAATGTTTTGGTAACGCGATCCGTGCTTTCGACTAACTACCTGAACAGCATGATCTAGCAGTTTCGGAGACTGAGATGCTCATATCCTGAGTTTTGTCGCTACTCTTCCCGCAAACTGAATTGTTCAGGCCCACGGAAGGTATCATAAGAGACTTTATACAAGTATCAGCGATTTCTGCAATTATAAAGAAAAACAGCTCCTAGTGATAATAACTCAATTGATCTTTATATTGAATAATTTCTCTTTGTATAATAGAAGCAGCTCAGATATATATATGATGAGCCTACAAGCTAGGGTCACATCAGAGTAGCTCAGAGCAGAGGAAATGCATGGAAACAAGCTTGGTCAGCAGTATCCATCTGCACGATAGTAAGGAATGTCGGGGCAAAATGATGGTGTGCGGTTCACTACATCCGTGAATAGGACTATGGTGTAGGCGTAATCTAGCAAGAGAAGGTAGCTGTACATTCTAACTTTCTGATCATCGTCAAATATCCAATTATGCTTTTCTATAAGGACCAAGGAAAATCCAAGATGCGATTGAAAGAAATTGGGACTCACTCCACACAACGGGACCAGTAGTACGATCCAGTGAGCTAAAAATTGTTCCGTTACCTCCTTTTTCAACGTATTATTGCTACTCACGATGTAAGCTCGGGAAAAATGGTACCGCGACAGCAAGTAACCTTTTACCTGTTTCCCATAATCGGTTCCTTCTCCCCCGCAACCTTCCTCCCCCAAGCATATTTCGCCGACCGTACCCCTGCCATCTCGCCCCCAGCCCCGTTTGTGGCTGCATACCCAGCTGCACGCAATCCCCAGGTGGCCAAACACCCGAAAATCCATTGGTTCTCATTCCTCAGTGTCCCAAGCCTCCCTGTTGGCTATTGACTAATGCGTAGCTTCCAGCCGCAGTAGTACGTGCCAGTTCGTTTTGCGATTGGTTAAGACGATGTGAGATGCGAATTGGTGTGTTGCTATCTTTTGCGGAGAAACGTTGCGCTGGGAGTGAGGCTTGTGCCTGGATTTCAGAGCTGCGGGGAAGGGCCATAGATTGTTTGCTTTGAGGTTGCTGGGCTGCAGGGTGTGTTAGGCGCCCTGTTGGCTTGGGTGAGAAGGAATGACAATAGTTACTTTCGGTACGTTCCATTGCGGCAAAGCCTACTGTGGTGTAGATCGATCCGGGAGCAAGTGCTGACTGACTAGTAGCATAGGAGAGGCAGGTGTGGAATATAATGTGCTCGAACGTAGAGGAAGGTGGGATGCTGGGATTATTCTTCGTTTTCCAATCTTTTGACCCCGCTAATGGTATTTCGTGGAACATTTAGAAGAGCCATGGATACGAGATATTTACACTCTGGTTTGCCAGGGCTGACAGCTCATCCGACGATGGTCTGCCACCGAGAATCGTACCCGGCCCTCGAAGCAGTACAGCGCAGCGCAGCCGGGAAATACGTCCTCATAACCAATGCTTCGCACGGAATCGGCCGAGCAATCGCGGTATCGTGGGCAAGAGCAAAAGCTGCCGGGATCGCAATCAGCAGCCTCAACGCAGAGGATCTCGAGTTTGTCGCAGAGGAGATTAGACGCATCAACCACAACATCCCAATCGTCGCCATGACTTGCGATACTACAAGTTCATTCGACGTAAATAACTTCTTCTCCGCTACAAAAGATATCCTTGGTAGATTGGATGTAGCGATTGCGAATGTCGGTACCACGCATCTTGACTACTTGGACATAACCGATGACAACGACTTGTGGTGGGCAGATGTAATGACAAACTTTCGCAGCACACATCTCACTGCCCACCAGTACCTTCGCACATTTGGTCCATCTCCTATTGGTACTTTTATCTCAATAACTTCAGGCGCGAACTTCTGCGTCGGTGCTGGGGTCTCGTCGCATGAGTTTGCCCAACAGATCGACCACCGACTTTTAGAATTTCTGGCCTTTGAGTATCCGATGATGAAAGCTTTTTCGCTGAATTCAGTGCCGATACATGTGAGAAGGACAAGACTTATACACGGTCATCCCGAGATTTGTAATCCAGAGTTGGTCGGGTTATTTTCTGTTTGGTTGGGTGGCGGGCGAGCGGATCTACTGAGGGGCAATAGTTTGCGTGCCGAATGGGACATTGGTGAGCTTGAGCGCAACATGTGGCAAGCGTTGGAGAAGGATACCTTGAAGCAGAAAATATCTAGCGGTTGTTTGCGGCTGGCGATGAGGCAAGTATAGTAGGAGTTTTGCACATGGGCTGTTGAATATGAACCGGAGAGTTCTATTTAATTTCTGTATCGCCTTTCTCAAACGCTGGTGTTGTAAGATACAGCGTCAGAATCGATGCGAATCTGGATTAGATGGATATGATCATTAATTTAGTCATGCAATGTTGTCGTATCCAAAATGCTGCGTGCGGATCCTACTGATCTCCTTCGACTTCTGACCACGGTGGCATGCGTCGCTGCTTCTGGCCCCATAGTGTACCTGCAGCACCTTGATCCCATATCCATTGGTCAGCTGGGTCTCCCGGGCTCCACGGCATAGAAGCTTCCCATATCCGCACCGTATGATCTGATTTCCAGTTCCGTGTCCCGACTGGTGTTGTATAATATGAATGCATGTCAACAAGAATGATGTCCAGACTTTCTCCCTGATATAAGTCAACGAGGGTGTCAACATCATCAGCCGTCATTGTATATGGCCGCAAGAACACCAATGATTTGAGTGATGGCGAAGATCGATAGAAGGTCCATTCTGCATCTCCAAAATGATCAGTAACTATGGCAAGTCGTTTGATATTCGGTGGCGGGTTGGGGAAATGACCGACAACGTAGCAGCCGATGATTAGCTCCTCCAGAAGGAACATACGTGAGTAAATGTTTGAATCAATGAGATACGAGTCTGTGATTTCTGTATCATCCCAAGTGAACATGAACGGATTAAAGTTGAGGTGCAGTCTTTTCAAGTTAGGCCCAATAGTATTAAATAAGTTGATGATTGCCGGTAGTCTCATAGAGGGTGTCCAATCATCTTCCCACAGGTTTCTTTTTGGTATGGGCGATATGTGTATTGACGTAATGTACCGCGAGAAAGTAGGCTTCGGGAGTCTTTTGATATTTTGTACAGTGGTTTGATGCTGATCATCCAGTCCTAACGTCGCGCAAAAGTGGCCCAAGGTCCCTTGAGAATCCAGCCACACGCAATTTGAGTACAGATATTCAGTAACTATCGGGTGAACACTGCGCGAGACTAACGTGAGCGAGTGCAGTGTCCTGGTTATTATGTCGAACCGTGAGCGTGCCACAGGGTGGTGATCGTTACATGTTTCCACGAGCTTGTCTAAGGTGTTGAGAAGCAGCTCAGGGGGTAAAGGTCCAAATGCTTGACCCTGAGTTGTTGTTGATGTTCGATTGGACATGAGTATCGTGTCCACTAGGCAGGTGGGGGGTGAAGTGGATGGAGACTGGGCATGAGTAACTGCCAGCGGCAAGCTGTGCGGGGGAGCGGCCTAAGGATCATATTAGTACCGAGACCCTAGGTTCTTCATGAAACGTGACTCAGCTCCATCTCAATGTCTTACTTCAATTACCTTTACTTTGAACATCTCACAGCCCAGATTTTATCTACTTGGCAGCGGAGTGAGATCGAGAAGACATGGTTGTATACAGGGTAAGGATCAGGCCGGTATCGACCTTGCTATTGTAGGCAAGCACCATCGTTCCTCGAAGCTCCGTTGATACCCCCGCCCAATTAAAAAAGCTTGATTCATCGTAATATCCGCAGGGACCACGCTGACGCAAGCCGTCTTTCTAACTACCACTCTACAGCCTCGTATGTCAAAACACTCCACCCGCAAACTCCACCCATCCCACCCTGTCTAGCGCTGTTTCATCGTTTCGAAACATGCCATTTGGATAACGTGCACACCTTGTTTGCGGGTTCCAAGTGGATCATCGACAGTCCTTCTTATGACATGTGTATAAAAAGAGATCGCGGAGAATGGCAGGGTCAATGCTCAAGGGGTGGTGTACTTATACTTGACGACGACAACGACATTCTGCTACACCCATAGCACCACATTCGTTCAAATCACCAATACCCAGCAGTAAAACAGGATAAAAAAAGAATTCCCACTATGTTCAACCCAATCCTCCTCACCCTCCTCGCTCTCGCAACCGGCATAACAGCAACCCTCGACCCAGCAACCTCGCACTCAAACGCCACCTACCCCGCCGCCCCAGCCTGCAAACGTTCGTCTGCTATCCATTTCCTCTCAATCCTCATTAGCTAACTCACCTCCCTCCCAGCCGCGAAAACAAGTAAAGCAATCCAAGCCGCAGAATGCAGCCACAATACGCGTCTCGGCAAGCAAACCTTTGCTGTCTTCACCATCGACCACCAATACGACAAATCCCACGGCGCCCCCTACGGCACATGTGAAGCCTACAACTGCGCTCCGGGATCCAAGATGACGGCGCGTAAAGATACATTTACGTTTTTCTGGGACGCCGCGGGTGTGCAGGGGGAGGGTGAGGGCGAAGGAATGGGATGTATCAGGAGTCCTGTTGATGGTACGTGTGGGTGTGAGAATAGTAGTGATGGCAAGTTTGTGTATGGGGGTACGAATTGTAAATAAACTATCTTCCCCCTGCTGCCTCGTCACTCAAAATCTTCCTATTTGTAAATATTGAATATTTCCTTTGCTACTTGGAAGCACCGCAGTCTTATCTTTATCAACACCCGTACTTTCCCACACCCCCCTCCTCCCCCCCCCCTTTTCTACTGATATCAGCGAAAAAGATAAACTACCGAACCACCTTCCCAACCGCCTCCACCTCCTCCGCCGTCAACCCCCCCGGCACATCAACAATAACACCCGGATCCCCTTTTCTCTGCGCAACAATCTCGTCTCTCTTCTATTTGCCTGCGTTAGCTTTCCCTTCTCGCCCCCCTTTCCCCCCTTGTACTCTCTAAACACCCCAAAGTAAACTCCGAAATGGAAAACCGGATATGGAAAAAGAAAATAAAAGAAAGGTTCATACCTCACTCCCCCTCCTCCCTCCAGCCCCCATTTCGCCCCCCCTCCCCCTCCTCCTGCTCACCTCCTCAGGCGTTACACCAACGCTGCCATCTAACTCAGCAGGTTGATCGTTGATAGCTGGCGCATCGGTTGGGACGAGGGTTTGCGAGGCCGAAGGTGTCGTTGACGTCGCTTGCGACGCAGTACTCGTAGTCATGTTTTTTTTTCTCCAACGCAGTGTTGAAGATGTGACAAAGGATACAAGTTTGTGTATATATATATATCTCGAGTTTGAGTGCGTGTGGGATATGTAGGGTAGGCAGGCAGCAGCGTGAGGAAGAGCCAAGATCGCAATGCTCGGGATCCGATAAGTAGGTGGTAGGTAGGTGGGACGGCGGGGGTGCGGGGGTGTAGCGTGGCGCAGGTGGGCGGGGCAAGAGTGGGATGGAAGGTACGTGGTTTCGAAGCCTAGACGATAGCGACCTAAAGAAACCGTGCGAGTTTCTGACTAGGAAAAAGGATACCGAGAGAGGAGAGTGGAAGGAGAGAGATGAGTAGCCTTGTCACGAAGAAAAGGCTGATGAGATGGGACAGGTAGTCAGCACGAGGGCACAAGAGCATTTGCTGCGCCTCCTTCCTTCCAAGACTCAGCTGGACATCATACATGGTTTCTAAATACAGCTACTAACTACTATGGAGATTTTGGCCCCCAGGGCCGCCCTTGCGCGCACAAAAACACCGAATGAGCTTAGCTGGATGGGACACAAAAGGAGTAACATACGTTGTACAACAAAGGTCGTGACACGTTAGATATGGGCTAGTTCGTGTACATTGATTTCTTTTAGTTGGACGACTTTGGCATTCTGAAGCCGCTTACGTAGCCTTCGCCGGCTCCCGATTTCCCATCAGCCTAGGTTGCTGTTAATGCATGATCTCAATTACGAGTATCTACTCGGTGATACTCACGCCCATGTAGACGTCTTGCGCAAACATGTTTGTCTGACCTGCTGCAGTAGACTGCTGGTTGAGTGTCTGTCCAGTTGGCGGCGCTCCATTCTGCTCCGTCTGCATTGGCATGTTGCCAAGATCCATCTGAAAAAAGTTGTTGGTAGTTTCAATGCCGGGGCCTTGAATGTACGAGTCCCATGCGTCCTGCAAAGTATTAGCAACTGTAAATTTCCCCAGAGATTAGTCTAGCATACCCAGTTGATATTGTCAGTTGGTGGAAGGTCCAAATTGTGGAAGAGGTTTGCTCCAAACAAGTTGGAAAATGGACTTGGTACGTTCTCAGCCCCAGTGGGACCGCCCATAGGCTGGTTGTACTGGGGTGTCAAGCCTGTGGAAGGCTGAGAAACTGGGTCATTCAGGAGATTGGCCATGCCTGCTGGGTATCGTTGATCAAACATGTTCGCATTAGGTGTCATGCCACCTGTGCTGAGCAAGCCCAATGTCATTGCTGCTGAATGTTCTGGAGCAACGTTTGCATCCTCCATTTGTGTGATTGGGTATGTTGACGAAGCTGCCTGGAATCCGTTTGGTGCTTGCTTCGTCGCTCGATGTTTCTTTAGCTGTTCCAACATGACGCTCAGAGTCGCATGCGCTTTGTATGCTTCCATGGAGTTGTCCTTGAGGCCATCCCAGATGCCGACTGCTATTTCGATTGCGTCTAGCATCTCGTCAACCCGATCCGAACTCCAACACATTGTATCGGTCGATGATGGAGACCGAGGAGTAGATTGTGCCGTGGTGTGGTAGAGATCTGACGATACAATCATCGCAGCGAGGAGGAAGTCGACGGTTGTCAGCGATGAGATGAACCATTTCACGTTCCTTAACCTTCCACCAGCCTGACACTCCCTATGCAGGGTTGCTTGGTGCTTTAGGAGCATCAATGATGCTTCAATAACGGCTTTTCTTGAATAGCAGAATCGCGACTGTACTCTGCCGTAAGCCAGGTACTTCCGATGCAGTACGCAAATGATCTTCAGGAAGAGCAGGTCTAATGTAAAGCGTTGCATGATCAAAGTTGAGGGATCTCGTGCTGAATCGTCCATGCCGCGCATCTTGAGATGGGGTGAGATGTTTTCATGCAATTCACGAGCCTCCGAATCCAGCCTCATTATCTCATCATAAGATGCGCAGGTCAAGGTATCCGTGCACTCGACAGCTTCGCCGAGCTTGTAGATGAGACGAGTTCGGTTGATTAGGAAAAGAGTGGGAGTCGCTTCCGTCTCGGGCCTCGATTGCGGAAGAACCTTCATGTCTTCATGGAGCTCGTCGTCGTAGAGGTTTCTCGGGATCTCCGTATTGGTGTCTCGCGGTCTGACAATAGGGGGTAGACCTGCCTGGGCAGAGAATAGCAAATCCATTGAACGCACGACTGCCCAAACACGTCTTCGCATTTCGCCTTGGAATACTGGAATACCAGGGTATGGCCCAGGGTCTCGATGAAGTCCCATGCGCATAGCTAACCGCACGACTATGCCAGTACCGATAAGAATGCCTACTTCGGCGTCTCTGCTTCGAGCGTACTCAGCGTGCACATGTAATATTAACGTCTCCATCATACCAACAATGGGCTGTGTGATGTCGGCCAAAGTGAGACATTGCGCGGTTAGATCACCATACTCTCTTGACATTTCCCAAGACTTGTTATGATACTCTGGTGGCTCGTCTCCAGCCCGAGTGTAAGACTGCAATGCGATGCACATCATGGAGAAGACAAGACCAAGCCAGATGACCGGAGTCTCTTCTGGCTGCAACCAATGCCGATCATACTCTTTTTGAAAAGACGGTCCGTGAATGATATGCATGCCAGGGTCGTAGGTATTGAAGAATCGAGACACAAGAAGGTCGGCCGTCGGTTTCGGAGGAAAGCGTGACAAAACTTCAGCTTTAGAGCAGGGCTTCTGTCCGCCCATGAGGAAAGATATTCCTGGAGGCCGGTCTCCGATATGTGTTGCTTTATACCTCTTGAGCTGATCTTCGTACTGTTTCTTGTGCTCTGCAAAGTAATTTTTGACTTCGGATAGCTCCCCCAAGATGGCATACCAATGTGCCTCTGAAGCAAAGACGGTGTGGTTGTTGTGTACCTTCATGACACCAATCGATTTTGTGACGTTCTCCATTTCGCTTTCTTCTTCCGCATCTTCCTCAGGAATCGACTCGGACGCGCCAGTGCTCATTGCAGTGCTATATTGACTAACATTGAATTGCGGATCCGAGGCTCCGCCGTTGAGGCTACCAGCGATGGCAGCATGAGCGGCAGCCGGGCCAGCGCTTTGTGCGCCATTGGTCATCAAAGAGAGGACAAGTCCTTCTAGACGGTCAATGCGGTTTTGCATGTCATCAGGGGTCGTCGCAGAGCCAGTGCTCGAGGAGCTCTTCTTGCGGTTGCTTGGAGCAGCATACGTACATGATGCCGTATCTCCGCGCTTGGTGCAGTTGTCGCAGGGATGGCCACGGTTGCATTTCAACCTGCAAGCGTCAGCGTTGGGTACGGCGCAATGGCTTCCTAGAGGCGTGCCTACTTCCTATGTCTACAGGCCCCGCATGACAACGGGACTCGGTTCCTCTTTCGTACGACCCGAAATTGTGGATCTGGCGGCGAATGGCCTGCGCTCGAAGAGTTTGTGGAGGGTGGTGTGGGCGGCATGCTGAGCTGCAGTCGCACGTGTGGTATTGGGTGGAGAGAGCGGGGTTAAGGGCTTATCGCCGAGGTGAAGGTATGATGAAATCTCACTCTTTCGTGGGTCGCCTGAGCTGCACAGCTGAGGTTCTGGATCGTCTGGTGCAGATTGGCGTTGTCGCGAGTAAGCACTGCGTAGATAGGAGGGCGTGAAAGAGTGCCCAGGTGGAGAATTATGCGAGCGCGGGCTAGCCAGGTCTTAAATCTTTCGGAGCTGACCCTATCTCCAGACGCCAAGGGATGTGACGACTGCAGTCCGGGATTCAAATGGCTTGATGTCCTGTTGGTGCCTTATTTGCGACTGCCTGCGTCTTTTACAGCCGATTCTGCGTATCAAGCACAACACAATCTACGCTTTCCGCCCCAAATTCCACCTCCTCTAGGTCGAATATGTATGCCCAGAGACCATGAACGTCCGTCGCGGGGTGGATGCGTCTAGTGTCGAGCCACGCCGTGCAGCGTTCTTGTTTGCAGACCAAATGGACGAAGCGTGTGCAAGCTGGTGGCTAGAGCTCTATGGTCGAGGTATCGCAAGGCACCAGTGTATCGAAACGTTGTTGCTAATACTGCCTATCTTCTCTCAGCAGCCGTATCGTGACGAAGCATTGCACCGATTCGTACCCTTCTCAACCAGCTCCTACTGCGCCCAACCAGAGCTCCCTTTGGTCGTACCCACGACAAGATGGCGCGCTGCACTTATCTAGAGCGCCCGACTGTACGATTGCGACCACGGGCCTGCTTTGGCGACTCGTTTTGTGTGGGAAATACCGAGCTAGCAAGAAATAAATGGTGAATGTTGTGTTGTGTTGTCGCGAGTGGGAAACCTGTCCAGGCATTGTGAGAATTAGGCGGCCTTTAACTCCGACCACCCTCATTCAATGCCCGCCAAGCTGGCCTGCACGATGCACGCGTTCGTCGCCACCGCACCCTCAGGCATCCATGCGCATGACATGATTACTCGATGCGCGGCTCTGACTCACTCATAATCCAGTACTTTTCCGCAGCACTTTGCTCTGATACCACAAATCTCACTTCATGTCCATAGTTTATACTTTCAGTGGCCGCGACAGTCCCGAGAGCGGGGTTGACTTGGCTCACGCTCGAGCCATTTCTTGCCTGCCCACCAACGCCGCCCCAGGTTAGGCTGCTGCGTAATCACAAAAGTCCCAGCAGCACGTCAATCCACCGAGGTGCAATCATATCAAGCGGATAAGAGACGGAGAAGAGATGGAAAAGTAATCATCATGGAACAGAAAGATTGATTCGAGTGGGTGACAGGCCGAGCAAGGTGTGCTTCCACATTACATGAACGCCCAACCCAGACACGAACCCCTTACTAAGAGACGAATCATTCATTATTTCCTTTCTCAATCTCCTGCTGCACCATCTTCTCAGCCTTCGCGTCCCATCTATACACTCCGCCAGACCCAACATTGTACTGATAATAATTCTCCGTTCCCCCTTTCACCATAGCCTTCCTGAACGTAATATTGATCCTCCCCTTGCCAGCCTCCGGCCCCGCGCGCTTCGGTATACTATGTAGCCAATTCGCCTGCGTCGTACCGCGCATAAGAATCATATCCCCCGAGCCCAGCGGTAGCTTCAGTCCTTTGGGCTCTTCCATCTTCTCGCCATCTTTCGGTGGTATAGGTTTGTGCTTCATGAGGAAATCGCGCTTCGCACCGAGACTGAAAGATGCAATGGCTGGGTTTGGGCCGAGAAACCGTTCGTCGTCTGAATGGTAGGATATGCTGTCCTTGCCATCGGCGTAGTAGTTGACGAGACAGAAATTGAACGTCTCCCCCGTCGTCCCCTCGGTCACTTTTCTCAGCTCGTCCAGGCATTGTGGGATGGGTCTTGGTGCGCATTTGTACCTGTTCTTCTCCACCGGTTTGCTTGTCTTGGCATCGATAATCTTTCCGTCAGGGGCAAAGCGAGATGTGTCGTCGACGCCAAAAACGGTTGTGAATCTGGGAGTGTTGATCTGTGTCTGCACTCCTCCACGCGTAATGTTGTAGATTACGCGGTAAAAGGGTAGTTCTTGCCGCAGAAACTCAAACACGCCACCAGCAATGGAGGAAGGTATGTACGGTTGGTAGTAAACGAGATCCAAGTCAAGCTGGTCGTTCATGACTTTGCCCTCCTCGACAGGCGCAAAGCCCAGCTGTTCTGCGAAGTCCTCTGGTAGGTGTGGAATCGCAAAGGGATATGAAGCATGACTCGACTTGGCCTTACTAACTTCATACTTTGGTTTCTTGGGAGACGGGCGCGTAAAGAATGAGTCGATTGCTCCACGCTTCATGATTGTGTGGTGTCTCGCTTGAAAGGGTATCGTGGATTGTCAGGGTAGATGATTGTTGCAGCACGGCGGGATTGTAGAACGCGCAAACGTACGGCTGAACGAGCGCGTTTCAAAGTGTACGAGTGGTTTGCTACGCGATAAGAACGACATTTGCCACATTTGGTGAGGAAAGAACGCGTAGTCACGACACCTTGTGTCGACGGCAATGTCAATGACGTAGAGCATTCTTGCAGCCGTTCGCGAGAGCAGTGATTGGCTGGACCCGCGCCGGGGTATCATCTACCATCACAACGGCCGGACAACGTGTATGACCTTAATCATCACCAACATAATACGCATCAAGGTAGTTTGCTGTTTCTCTTCTATCATTGTTCATCCAAACCGCAGTGTCTAGCTTCTGGCTCCCAATACAGTCCAAGCTCTGAAACATAGACCTATTGACGAATCAGCATGTTTTTCAGTAGTTCAACCCGCCATATTTGACACCAATACAAGTTAACCGAAAATCCGCATCCCTTTTGAATTATATCATATTCTATATACACACAATTCAAAGCACCAAGCTCAACTACTGTTTATGTATCATTCCCGCTATATTCGCAAGGTCCCCATCCATCAGCCCACCACAACTTCTGGCGAGCCCCATGGAGACACCAGCTACGCCTGCAGATGGCAGACCAGCACCGCATCAACTCTGACGCCTTCTCCCCAGGCATAAATCACTATGTTACGGTCAAGATGCGATTAATATCTTACGAGATATTTCATATTCGATTTATCTATTGGACAACAGGACCCCTTTACTTCCTGCTATATATCGTTTCTATCGTTCTTTTTTTTTATAAAGAGCTTCCATCTCCTGAGTATCTAGAAGTGTAAGCATTAGGCCATGTCGTCTTTGGGGTCGTCGTCAGGATCGGGATCCCTCTTCGTCTTCTTTCGCTCCTTACCAGGTTTAAAAAATCATCCTCTTTGTTTTTGTCTTTTTCCTCTTTTTCCTCTTTTGCCTTCTGCCTCTCCACCCTCTCCCGACGCTCGTCTGCTCTCATCTTACCGATACACTTTCGGCAAGCTTCTGGGGACGCAAAGTGGTACTTACCACAACCTTGCGTACACAGGATCTTGTGTGTCTTTCAGTGTGTGCCATCGGCACTCTGGATGCAATTTCCTGGGCTGATGTCGCCGACCCAACCGTCTCTGCCAGGGCAGTGGTGCTTAGTCCTACCGGTTGGCGAGGGCGACATCTTCGATGTTTTTTTGTTGTGTTGATTGTTCTGAGGGTGAAAGTAGATATTTTCAGTGGGTTATTGAAGGCTTGAGTTTTTTTTTCCGTTTTGGGCCCTGTTATAACTTGTTTCTTAAATTTTGTTTGGTTTCTGTACTGCATGAGAGCCTATTGGTGTGAAATTTATATGAGGCAACCTCAGTGAATAACACGACACCATTGTCAATTAATGATACAGTGGAAAGACAGTGTACTCACTCGACAGATAAGATCATGTAGCCTGTTGGCACACTCTGTTTGTAAATGAACAATGAAAACTAGTACTTTGTGTTCATAATGTGTTTTCCAACTTCCTAGATATAACACGAGAACATTTATCCTTACAATCATAACCCACTTTCTCTTCGCAACTCAACTGGTACTTCCAACGAACACAACTGCATTCGCTGCAAATTCATCTTCATCATGACTCCAAATCCTACTGATCTCAACCCTTCAGATAGAGAACACTTTGAACTCTTCGGACATAATATTGCCACAGTGGCTTCTGCTCTTCACGATGATGTTTCTGAAGTCACAATAGAATACATGCGTGGGGGCTCTTACAATAGAGTAACGGGTGTCAACATCACCTCAGAACGTAGACGAACCAACCTTGAGTGGTTTGTCTCCACGTTTGGCTCCTATCTCCCCACCCAGCTCACGGAGATGCTCAAAGCACCAAAGGACACAGGAATCTCGTACATAGTTCGAATTCCCCGTTTTATCAACAAAGAAACGATGAATATCATGGCTCGCGATGTCGCCATTCTCAAAACCGTCGGAGCGCTTGTCCAACTGCCAGTTCCAAGGGTAGTACGGTACGATCTGACATTCCAAAATGCCATTGGAAAGCCGTACATGATCCAGACCCGTCTCCCAGGGAAAAACTTCTCTACACTGATGAAAGATGACTCTCTGAATACAGAGCAGTTGCTGAGCATCGCCGAACAAGTCTCTCAACTCGCTCCTATCATCGCTGCAGTTGAGGGACCAGGCGGCAATATATCACTCTCTGCGCTCTCTTCCGACTCAAAAGACCTCCATGTCGAGAGCCTCCACCTGCAGCACGAAGAACTCGGAGATAGGAATTTCAACTTGGCTGAACATCCCCAGGACACATTTGAGCACCTCATCGAAACTTGTCGGCGCTGGAGCGAAGATTGTACGGAAGACGGCCAGTCATTCAACGAGATCTGGCTCAACTTCGGTATCATCATCAAGTCCCTCAATACTCGTGGTTTCCTCAACGGACCATGCGTGTTGGCTCATCGAGATCTCATGCCATACAACCTACTTGCAGAGATTCGCAACGACACCCAAGTCCAGATCACGGGCGTTATCGACTGGGACTCGGCGACCATGGCGCCCGAGTTCGTCGCCTACAAGGCACCGTTCTGGTTATGGACAGAAGATCACGTAGATAGTGATTTCGCTGACACAGAAGAATGTGCAAACATCGTCCCTGTTACTGAAGACGCCAAGACGATCAAGCAGGTTTTCATGGAGAATGCGTCAGAGAAGTACAAGCACTTCGCATTTGCTCCTGAAGCCATCCTTGCTAGGCGCATGTACGTTATTTTGAAAGAGGGCATTCCTAAGGACTGGCATATTGAGGAGGCGTGGAAGATCGTTAGTGAGTGGCATGCGCTTCACCCAGAAGATGGGATTACGCCCCCGGAAGAAGATTCCGACTGCCAGCTCTACGAAGATTGAACAAAAAGTCGTTGGTAAGTTAGGAGATCGTTGGAAGGTTCGTCGCGGAGATTTTCTTTATCTTTCATAATATTGTTTTTAGAGCATAGACTAGAGGTCCTTGAAAGAAGGATGTTGTTGTATTAGAGTATAGATACCAAAAACAGTAAAATCACACAACATTTCTTAGTTATTTGAGGTTAGTGTCCTACATGGGCTACTATTCCACCACCTAGCATCACACATGAATATGTTTGCTCAAGAAGACTTTACGTAATTGTGCAGAGAAATTCTAACGTGATGATTTAGAGGGGCCAGCACAGATGAATGTGTATTAACACACTATTGAGTAAGACTCAGAGTCTCAATCAGAAGCGTCAATAGACTATTGTTCTTTCCTGTCTTCGCTTCTAGATGTCTGATCTCCTCTTTGAGGCTATCTTCTAATGTTAAAATATAGCTCTTAGTTGTAGCAAGAGCGCCTCAATCATTCAAGATTTGCAAGATAAGACTCTTACGCTCGTCACCCATCCCGATCGGCTGCTGTCTCTGACCAGCCGCATGCTGGCGAAATAAACCAAGGATCTTGCCCTTAGACGCAGGGCAATCCTGTATGCAGGCGACAGTTGGTAAGGAAAGCTTGCCCTCTTCTAGATCTTCACAAGTACCCTTCTGCGCCGCATATTCTTTGGATACCAGGTTCATATAGTCGTCCCTGATCTGGAAATATCGTCCCAATAGGAAGAAGACATCGCTTCTGTATTGTCTATCTCCCATATCAGACAATTGAAGGCAAATAGCAGGAACATATGAAATACCATCGTGTATCAAACCGAGATCGATGAGATGAGTCAAGGTTCTTATCCTCTCCGGCTTTGTTTCGGGGAACACTAGCGAACACCAATTGCCAACTTCACTAAGTGAGCTATTAGATTTGCTCTCCCATCCATCTCCAACCATCTTCGCCCAGTCTGATAAGAGCTTCCGAGTTGCGGCATTTGCTAGATCGTCTTTGTGGTTTATACGGGTCATAAGCTTGGAAAAGTAGCCATTCTTCGACAACTCCTTAGGATCAATAGGAGAAGAGTATTGGAAAATTGCCCCCTTGACGTTCAACCAAAAATGTCAGGGCTTTTTGTAAGGATTAAAAGATGCAAGAATAGCAAGGTTGATATAGTAAATACAATGAACAATACTCTTATATAGAGCGTGCATTGGACTCGTCATCCATTGGAATGTGTTTAGCACAACTATACTTTGTGTAACGATAAAGGCACGTGTAACCTATTCGGACCTATCATCCCACCTAACCAATAAGTAAAAGCAAATCATACGAAGCTAGAACATTGAGAGGAAACGCCGAATATGTGCGAAGCAGATAAGTGATCGAACAGTCAGATCTTATCTAAGCCGTCAACGGCGAATTCCAAGAACCTCACAAACAAAAGCGAAGCTCCGAAAATGTGCCAGGTAAACAAGTGACCGAAGGATAAGTATTTGACCAATGGATTGATGGCGAATTTTGAGAAAATTGCTAGATAGGAGAGAAGCCGTGAAGATATGCGAAGGAATTATGCAGCCGAAGAACGAATGCTAAGTGAAAAGGCATGTATACGGACTACAGGCGACTAGTGCTACGCTAGGTCCTATCTACAACCCCGTAAAGAGAGATAGTCATGTAGAGACGGTGTCTTTAAGACAGCTTACTAGTCAAGCAATCGGAGCAGAGGCTTGAGAATACTGAGTCGTCCAGGAAGGCCGATAGAAACTCTTGCCTGCTAATGTCACCTGTTTTTGAATAAGGTTTTCCTTTGTACTCTTCTTTAGACATCTCATTTTACGCTCAATCTCCCTGGGATCCGATTCCTTAAGTGTTGCGACAAAATGGGAGCTACACTCTCGTCAACGAATGCGATAGACACTTGGTCTATCACTGTTGTATTCTTTGGCCTTGTGGGTCCTCCCATTCATATTTCTAGCATTAGCTTGTGAACTTAACTACATATGTACTTAACATAGTTCTCGTTATGGCACCTCGGAAACATTGTTTACAACCTATTTTTCCATCCACTGAAAAAGATTCCTGGCCCGTTTCTTGCTCGATGTTCGCCTGTAAGGTTCCCGTAATATAAGCATTAGCGTTCCACAAGGGGAATTGTTAACAGGGCATGGACAAAGATTTTTATGATTCGCTTTCTCCACCGCAGGAGGCTTAACACAATAATAGTAGACTTGCACTCGAAGTTTGGTAGGTTAAAGTTATATGATGAACGACGAAGGACCTATCTAATAGACAACCAACAGGCCCAGTAGTTCGCATCGGCCCCAACGAGCTTTCTTTCAGCACAATCAATGCACATAAGGAGATCTAAAACAGCTCTAACAACAACATAGACACATACTTTACTAAACAGTGGACTGTGCAAGAACAAGCTGAAAACCTATTGCTAGTCGGAACAAACATCATCACGACACATGACAAAAAGTTGCACAGGAAGTTGAAGAGAGGTATTCAACCAGCCTTCAACTCCAACTCCCTGAAAGACCAAGAACTGTTGATCCAACAGCAAGTGCGAGGTATGATTGGCCGGGTGGACGAAATTATCCAAAAGCCAGGCCAGGTAACGAATATGGGCGATGTAATTTCTGAAAGCATATGGGACCTAGTTTCCGACCTGAGCTTTGGCGATACATTAACAGGAAATGGAAGAAGTAAGAAACTCAATACTTACAAACGTCGCATATGCTGTGCTTCTGGTTACTAGCTTGGACATAGTCATGTTTGATTACTTCATCAACAATGCAAACTCGGTCATGGCGGCGTATGGTTTATATGATTACCTCTTCCCCTTTGGCTCTTGGGTGCTTCCTTCGCTCATAAAATCTCTTGGTAAATTGCTCAAGAGTTTCCCTTATGCATCGACTACGACCGGACATGTAGTCAGCGCGTCCACGCTCAGAAAGTAAGTTGTGGTTCTTGCTGAGAAGACGATTGTTTACTAATAGCAACAAGTTACTTGCAAAGATAGCATGAGAGGAGAGATTCCATGACGGCAATCCTCGACCATTGTGCGCAGACTGGATTTCACCTGAGCGACGATGAGCTGATTCAAAACTCTTCCATCTTATTGTCAGTAATTTCATATTGTCCTGGCGAGTAGTAGCTAATCTATTGTAGCCTAGCTGGCTATGGAACGATGGCTATGACAATGACTGCCACATTTTACCAGCTTCTCCGTAACCCGGAATATATGGCTGTTGTACAATCAGAACTCCGAAACGCTTTTCCCAGCCAGGAATCGATCACTGCGGATGGCCTCGCAAAGCTCCACTATCTCCCCAGTGTAATCTTTGAGACTCTTAGGCTGATGCCGCCTATCAATACCCGCTTTGCCGACCGAACATGTCCTGGAACGAAGATCAACGGCATTTACATTCCTAAAGGTACGGTAGTCTCTGCCAAAGTTTTCTCCATGCAAAGGATGCCCGATTATTGGGCCGAGATGTCCTTTCTGCAGTGTCTTTCCAGAGGTTCAAGTGTGTTCAGGTGAACGTTCACCCACGAAAGTCATAAGCACTCAGAAAAATCTTGAGTGCAAGTAAGATAGAGCGCTACAAGTGTAAGGAGGATTGCGTATATGGTAGATGTATCTACCAGTAACATAAATGAATATATGCTTAGTGTGAACAATCGTTTCCCAAATCTCGAATAGGCTCACGATCTAACTATGTGGTCAGGCAAATTCTGTGTCAACATAGTGAGACAAGTCTAGAATTGTTTCTAACTCGTTAGGGCAAGATCTGATTTGAAACGTAGGCTATGCTGCCCAAAAAATTCTGTAAATAGAATTACATATGCCGACCAAGCATTGTACTTACTCTAAAAGAAACCACCTTTCACCTAATGGCGTGCGCCAATCACTCTGTGAGTGAATATTGTGAGATGCTGACAGTACCTCAAATCGTTTATAGTGACTGAAAAACAATATCAAGACAGGCCATTAATGTAGCCGTAGAGCTGTAAGAGCATTGTTCATATATATATCGAGGGCAGTATGTACACAACATCTTGTCCTTGATTCACTATGTCGAACTCAGGGATTATAAGACTCTCATCCCATATTTCTTCTAATGAATACACTAAGGATTCAAACAATCGATACATCAGAACCTTACAAGATTAATTACAAACTACAACAATCTAGAAGGATCCATCATGCGAGCGACAAACCATTGCCGAACCATTGTTGTCTTCGAAATCGAACGGGGCATGGACAGCCTGTCAATGAACTCTCAAAGCACCGATCGATATGACAGCTTTCAAGAAGAAGACGTTTTCTTAGACTTCTTCGCAGAGGGTAATATCTACAGACCAGATGGCGAGTATTACTGCGACGGCGAGAAAATCGCCAATTTCAAAGCTAAGATCATGCAGCTCTTGGCCGATCTTTTCCCTCCCAAAGAGACCGAGCGGCCCATTATTCGACGTCTTGGACAAGGTTCATATAACATCGTCGTCGGAGTATCTGTAACGCCCAAGATCCATGCACTGAAGGGCGATTCAAGCTACAATGCTAGAGTAGTCAGGCTGCTTGGTTCACCACCTAAGCAGCAAATCTTCGCACTGAGAATCCCAGTGGGATCATGGTTCGACTTTAACGGCCAATCGGGAAGCATTGTAAGGAGCGATGTCCACCAGGACGTAGCGACTCTCCAAGTTCTAGGCCAGCGCCTCTCAGTGCCCATTCCCATAGTCAAAGAATTTGACCTCACAGAAATCAACGCCCTCGGTCGCCCGTACATGCTGCAGAGCTTTGTACCAGGTGACAGCCTTGCGAAGCTTTGGCCCGATATGAATCTAGATCAAAAGGCGTCAGCGATTCGTCAATTGACCAGGATCGTAGAGACCATAGCGTCCATCACCTCGCCAGCAGCTGGCCAGATCTCATTCGACAACATCACTTCGCCCAGCTCAGAGATCAAGCTGGACCAAATCCTCATCCCCACTGCGGACCAGGCGTATCACCGACCAAACCTGAATCTCTTCGAAAAGCGTGAGGCGCCGCATCAGACACCATGCCAATTTCTAATCGACTGTTGTAACAGGTGGATGAGGTACGAGTCCCTGATCGGACCACCCGATGGCTTCAAGGAATCACTTTGGTACAGCATTATCGAAATCATCCACGTACTCGACGACATGGGTTGGCTCGGCGACCGCTTCCACCTCATGCACGGCGACCTTTTCGCCCGCAACGTAATGGTGGAAGTCAACAGCCGCACATCTGTCAAGATCACTGGCATCGTCGACTGGGACATGGCATGTTTCGTCCCCAAGATTCTAGCACTCCGGAGTCCATTCTGGGCTTGGAAGGGTATCAACTACGATGAGTCCGATGAGAACAAAGTGGCGAAGGCACCTTCCGATCGGGTAGGTAAAGCGCTGAAGGCTGCATTTCTGAGTACGGCTACGCAGGACTACATCACTATGGCTTTGGAGGATGAGGGTGTTATCGCGCGAAAGTTGTATAATGTGGTCACTGGTGGGTTATTGACATCTAGACAGCGAACAATGGCTGCGGGACTGATCCAGCATTGGAATACCATCTGTCCTAAGGAGTATCCCTCTAGAGTTAGGAAGTTGAAGAGCATACTTTGAGAACGGTAAGGTTTCTATTATGTTTAGCATTGCATAGTAGGTTTTTTTATCCTTGAATAGTTGGATATTTTGCAGGAATTCTCTAAACAGAGAGAGATATTGTTTGTAAGTGTGAAGCCCTGTTCTTGGTGTGAAGCCAGCCTCGTGATCCTCGCACCGCGGAGATCATCAATCACTTTATGACGTGGTGCCCAATGGTCTCTTTCCATGCGGCCATCATCACAGAATATTCCTCCTTGTTACTTGTAACATACACATCCCACCCACGTCTACGCAATAGAGATAATGGAAAAATAGATCAACCAATCAATGCGCTACGTATAGATTATGGTAAAACCAGCCTTACTCCGCCACAAACGGGCAATGCTTCTGCCTGGATCCGCTGCGATGGCACAACATTAGCAGCCTTAGAGAGCAGTTCTGCTTGGCCTTGATTTGTATAAGTTGCTGTGTTTTGTAGCATTCCACACATGCAAGAAATACTTTATCTACAATTGTCTTTATCGACCCAGGTTCACTCTATGTCATCTCCGCTAACATCCCTCCCTGGGTAACGCAAATCCCCCCGTGCCGCAAGAAAAGAGGGGTACTTTGTCTTCAGAAAACAATATTTCTATTCACACGTTGTTGTCATACTATGCTCATAGATAGGTCATATTTTTTGCCTTCTTCTATAGGTGTAGACATCTCTCCTTACAAAAATTACGCTACTGTTGTGAAATCCGCGCTGATCTGCAAAAGACATCTTTATAAGAGAAAAGCGGTGATACCGCTACAGATAGCCTCTATCTCGCTCTACTGTACCCCTATACTAAGAAATAAGGTTGTATGCACTAAGGAAACCCTCGGCCACGCTGCAGAGCCAATCTCAGCTCTTGGTGCGGCGTGGCGCTCATATCCATGCGTGATCGCCACCCTGTCGGTACTTCTCCAGAGAGCAGCTTCCGCATATGGCTAGTATAGGACCGTCTACGGCGTAATTTTCACCACGCCAAGCTTATGGCTTCAAAGTCCTGTAGCTGTGTAAGCCCCGGAGTCTTGTCAGTAAGTTGAAGATCACGTGGTAGTCAGCTTTGGCCTTATAATCACAATCTCTCTTGTATTACAATAATGTCTCATTGACCTATAGTGCTTAGCGAATGCGGCTTCCCCTCCAGCGCGGGTGCAACGAAGTTTGCGCCACACGGTAGGCAGGGATCATGATGCCCCACCTGACATATCAAGCTTAGCGTTCTCTTGTCAGCACACGTGCAACAAGCAGCAAATACTGAGCTTTAGTCATCACACTTCACAATGGATGACAACAATCCCGGTGGTGAAGAAAACTTAGGAGTGGTGCGCAATGCAAAACTAAGTGCTGTATGTCCCACTTCCACCCCTCTGCTGAGTCATAAGGAAGCTTTTACATAAGCCTACTACTACTCGAATACAGTACAATAGATGTCCGGCCTGAAAAATGCTGGTTAGAATATGCTAAAAGAGTATGCACTGCTAGATTCACTTACAGTGACTGAGACCTGCATAATCAACGGTGATCTCCAGTATGAATGCTTTTGTAGTGCGCCTCGACAAGCTTTTTCACGACGGTATGTCCATTCCTTGAGGCCAGTTGAAGCGTTCTCTCGTATTGTACCTTGCCATCTCTCCAGAGATCAACACCAGCATTCAGCAGCAGTTGCACCATGTCTATGCGTCCGTGCTCTGCAGCTCCTTCTAATGCAGTTCTTCCGTTCTCTAAAGCTCCACCAGCATTTGCATCTGCACCAGCATTGAGAAGTGTTGTCGCCACTCTAACACGACCAGAGAGGGCAGCAGCTTGGAGTGATGTTGCTCCAGCATGTTTAGCGGCTGAGGCGTTGACATCTGCACCAGCATCAAGAAGGACCTGAACCAGCTCGAGGTTGCCGCTGTAAGCTGCTGCTTGGAGCGCGGTCCGTCCATCATTATCCGCTGGCGGTGCGTTGACATCTGCACCAGCATTGAGAAGGACCTGAACTAGCTCGAGGTTGCCGCTGGAAGCTGCTGCTTGGAGCGCGGTCCGTCCATTATCCGCTGGCGGTGCGTTGACATCTGCACCAGCATCGAGAAGACTCCGGGTGATCTTAATATTGGCTTTCCCTGCAACATACTGCAAAGCGGTTCGCCCCAATAGCTGTGAGTTAGGGTCTGCTCCTGCTTCAAGGCACGTCTGTGCCATAAACTGATGTTCAGACTGTATAGCAGCCAGGAGAAGCTTCTCTGCAAGTGCCTCGACCGTTGGATTCCGTACTGATAGCAGAGATCTCAGAAACTGCACATTACTGGTGTCTTGGAAGAGTTGGGTCATTACAGCAACTTTCTCGGTGTTCAACATATTGTTGGTCAGTAGAAATACCGCAAGGCTGAGATGTTGGACGTTTCCAGTCATTTTGATAAGTCCACTCGTATCTTTGTGACCTGCGTTTGATTCTCTCTCGAATTCTTCTGGTATTATAGCACGTAGATGACTATGGATGCGCCGGACGGTATTTGATAGAGTTGGAGTAATTCCTGTGGTGACGCACTTTGATAGAGCCGAGATAACCGTATCTGGTATGAGGGACATGTATCCTACGGTTCCGAGGTCTTGTGGCTTTGATTGGGAAGGATTGCTAATAGACTTGTTGACCATGCTAATAGCAACAGCGGCTAGGTCTGGGTAAGGGCTGACTAGAAGAGTATTAGCTCAATTCGGAAGAATGAAGAGTACGATTGTACGGACTTCTCGACTCAATAGTGTCCAGGAATTGG